AGCACGAGGAAATGATGCTCCACGAGCCTCAGGAGAACACTCTGACTTATCTTCGGCGGCGTCAGCTCATTTTCATATCTCAGTCAATCAGGGACTACACGAACGATGGCCCAGGTCAAAACTCCTTTCAACTCGAAGATGCGGAGAATACCACACTGCGAATTTGGACGTACCTAACACGCCACTTTGCCAAAGGAGAGGTCAACTTTATGATAGACACCGCCTTGTCGCATCTCCACCTCCTGATGAGGTCGGCGACACCATGTCTGATATCAAGCATGGAGCAGTCGCAGCCGTCCTTGGCTCCGGGACAAGGTCAGGGTTATTTTCCCCCACATCTAGGCCTGCCCGAAGACAAACACTTGGATCTCCAATACCCCGACCTTCAGGCACTCAGGCGTGCGTCGACGATATATCGAGTACAGCAGCTTCTCAAGATATCTCACTCAACCCCGGGCGGAGAGTCACCTGTAACCAATGGCTGGCGCTTCCAGCAACAAGCGCAACATCTCGACTCATTACCCTATGACAAGCATCTCCAGGCCTTGCTGCCACACCTCCCGGACTACCAGGACCAAATCCGAGAGAATCTGGTGATGTACAGGCAATGGCTCCTACGTGACATCACTGAAGAGGAGACGGCCTGGACCCGCGATACACTTTTAGAGTCGGCAGTCTCGAGAGGCGAACTCCGGGAACTCTTCGAACATGCTCTCCTCAAGCAGGTCAACCATACACTTCAGGCCAGTGCTGAGTCTCCTCACCCCGTTGATTCCACTCCGAACTGCCAAAATAGCATGGCTCTTCGCTTCTACCAAATCATCAATCCTCTACATGATGACGTCTACGAGGAGCAAACCGTTTGCGATCGTCTATAAGATGCTCACTCCCCTGAACCGCCAACGGGTTCGATCACTTCATCGCACTTTGTCGCACGAGAGGCACCAGTCCTTGCTTCGCCTTTTTGCACCCTAGCCTGCCAGCAGCTTTGCTTGTGAGGTCCCCTCCTGCAAAGCAGAGCATCAGGTTAGCAACGTCTCTGTCCAACCAGGGACACCACCAGCCTCTTGCACGCCAAGTCATAAGCAGCGGAAAAGTCTCCTGCCTCTCAAACTGCAGCAAAGTCCTTTCTCACTATGATTACTGCGGCATGCTCCGACAATAAGGTCTTCTTGCAGATAGAGTTGGAGCTTGATGCCGTGCCAATGCCTCAGCCCTGCCTGATTCACATGCTAAAACATTCAAGTCTGCAGCTTTCTGCTTTCATTGAAGCTTACCACAGCCGGGCTCAGCCTCTTTACACAGGCTGACCACGTGAGGTCTCCCCCCGGCTAGCAAGCCAGCCATGCCTTCACCGTCTCGCGAGGTTCTGCTCGAGATTCTCCTGAAGTCGCTCCACGTCCCAACGACCATCTACCTACCTTGCGGCATCAGTGAGCACATGGTCACATCTACCTCAGCAAATACTCATCTCACCCCGAGGAGGCTCATCTTCACTACAGAAGACCTTGCACCCATGGCAGAACGAAGCATGCGAGTAGCATCACGTCTCTGCAGCTTCATATGTCACTTGGATCGGCACCTAGCCTGGCGCGAGGGAAGACACACTGCCCTGCCCCTTGAGGCTAGCCCGTGTACCTTGGCAGGTAAGCGCAAGCACATTGACGACGAGCCGACTTCAGTGCACCTGCCCCCGAATATGGGGCCCCTCCAGCGCCAGCAAATCATGTACCTCACCCTCATGATCCAAAACTACACAAATGACGGAGCAGGCTCGCCATCCTTTAGTACGTCCGATGCCGATCAGGCCAGCGCTTTAACCTGGCATTATCTCACCAGGAGGTTCTCGCAGTCAGAGCTGAATGCCATTCTGCTCCGAACTCTGGAGCAGGCCAAGGTCATTCTGCAGTCTGAATTCACTCCAGCACATCAACGGAACCTACTCCAGCTGCATCCCCAAACGACGGAGGAGCACTGGCAAGGCCAAAAATACTTTCCCCTAGGCCTCCGGCTTCAAGACCCTCATCAGCTTGATCTTGACGCATACGATTTCAGAACGCTCAAAAGAGCATCACTTCAGCTTCGCCTACTGCAACAACTGCGGACTATTACGGCCTCCACACCTACATCGGCCAGCGAACAGATCCGCGATGGCTGGGAATTCCTTGAACAAGACCGTGATCTCTCAAAGCTTGACTACGAGGACTACCACACCAAACTGGTTTCCATGATCCCGCACTATCAGGAGACACTCCGAGAGATCCTGACACTGTACCGCCTATGGCTGTCAACCCCTCTGTCCGATGAAGACTTCTTGTGGGTGCGCAACATGGTAGTGAGTCAGCTTCTACCTAGAGACACTCTCCATCGCTACTTTGCTGACAGTCTCTGGCAACAAATACGACACAGATATGGAGGGGACCAAGGAGATCTCGAGCAGGCACAAGGAGTCATCGCAATTCTTTCCCCGCTCCATGACCAGGTCTATGATGACTATAAGAACTTTGCTGTGGCGCTGACTCTGCTCCTCGTTCGACACCGTCAACGTCTGAAGCAGACGCTAGACGACAAAATTCGGGGCTAGAGACTGTCCGAGCACCATAGCCTTCCAAACGAGTGAGGTCCCCTCCTGTTCACTGCACTATCTTCCCAAATTGCGGGAAAAAGCGTGTAGCTCCGATCTTCCCATGCCAGGCTTCACTAAGCACAGCTCTCCTCGCAAAGTTTTCTCTCAGGTTCGCACGAGTGAGGTCCCCTCCTGGCGAACTTCAACCCAGCCAAGCCCCATGGCAGACCTTCGCCCCGTCCTCAGCCGCGAACAGGCAATGGAGGTACTCCTTGAATCTCTTTTCCTACCGCTGCCGGTTTACCCTACAACTCCGGCTGGCGCCGCCACAGCGAGCAATCTTGACCTGGCATCCTCACGCACCTCTGCGGGGGAGGCGATCCAACACTCGAACCGTCAGATACGGATAGCTTCGCGTGTTTGCAGCTTCTTGAAGCTGCTCGCGGAGAAGGTTCACTTGCACATGGGAGAGTTGCGGCTCTACCTTCCCAAAACTGCGCCCCGCAATTTGGCCGCAAAACGGAAGCATGAAGAGATGATGCTGACAGAGCCTCGCTCTCCTACTCCGACGTACCATCAGAAGCGCCAGCTCCTCTTCATCTCTCAGGCGATTCGGGACTACACCAATGATGGTCCTGGCCAGAACTCCTTCCAGCTCGAAGACGCGGAGCCTACCACCCAGCGCATCTGGACGTACCTGACGCGCCACTTTGGACAGGGTGAGGTGCACTTTATGATTGCCAACGCCCTGTCACATCTACACCTTCTCATGCGATCGTCAACTCCACGCCTACTCTCAGGCATTGAGCAGTCACAGCCATCGCATGCTCCAGGACAAGGCTCGGACTACTTCCCTGATAATCTTCGTCTGCACGATGACAAGAAACTGGACCTTCACTACTTCGACCTGCAGGCGCTAAGGCGAGCCTCCACAGTATACCGGGTGCAGCAGCTGCTCAAAGTCTCTTCTTCCACCGAAGGGGCATCGCCAGTTAAGAACGGATGGCGCTTTCAACATCAGGACCATCACCTCAATGCTTTGTCCTACGACCAACATCTCCTGGCTCTGTTGCCTCATCTTCCGCACTACCAGGACCAAATTCGCGAGGATCTGGTCACGTACAGGCAGTGGCTGCTTCGAGAAATCAGTGCAGAGGAAGTTTCCTGGATTCGATCCATGATCATGGACACGGTGATCTCGCGAGGTGAACTCCTGGAGCTCTTCGAGGATGCCTTGCTCAAGCAGATCAACTCTGCGTTTCGAGCTACTGTTGGCATTCCTAACCCGGAGGATCATTCTCAAGACTTCCAGAACAGCATGGCTCTCCGCTTCTACCAAATCATCAATCCGCTCTATGATGACATCTACGAAGAGTACAAGCCGTACGCAATTGTGTTCAAGATGCTCACCTCTTCTCATCGTAGACAGCTTCGGTCCCTCTTTCGGGCCCGAGAAGCTGCCATTCTGGCGTCCCCATATCGGACAACCAGCCTGGTTCCAGTATGCGAGTGAGGTCGCCTCCAGCAAACTGAACCATAGCATCCCAAAGCTCCTATAGTCCGAATACTGGACTTAATCACGCCTCCAGACCACGGCTCGCGTTGCAGAAAAGCCTTCATGCCTCATAGCACACAAGTGCCGGCCTGCATAGCCGATGCCCTCAGACCCGGCCTGCCTACCGACTCGCCTGCTGAGGTTGAAGACCAATCTCGCAGAGACTTGTACATTGGCGCAACCCACCTAGCTCGTAGAGGCTCTGCCATCGGAATAGCTCAGGTCCCGACGAATAGGTTACCCATTTTTCACCCTCGATGCCCGCCAAGGTGTGGGACATGACCCGCACATGCGTCCGAAATGAAATGAAATGAAATGTTGTTGTTGTTGTTGTTGTTGTTGTTGTTGTTGTTGTTGTTGTTGTTGTTGTTGTTGTTGTTGTTGTTGTTGTTGTTGTTGTTGTTGTTGTTGTTGTTGTTGTTGTTGTTGTTGTTGTTGTTGTTGTTTTGTTGTTGTTGTTGTTGTTGTTGTTGTTGTTGTTGTTGTTGTTGTTGTTGTTGTTGTTGTTGTTGTTGTTGTTGTTGTTGTTGTTGTTGTTGTTGTTGTTGTTGTTGTTGTTGTTGTTGTGTTGTTGTTGTTGTTGTTGTTGTTGTTGTTGTTGTTGTTGTTGTTGTTGTTGTTGTTGTTGTTGTTGTTGTTGTTGTTGTTGTTGTTGTTGTTGTTGTTGTTGTTGTTGTTGTTGTTGTTGTTGTTGTTGTTGTTGTTGTTGTTGTTGTTGTTGTTGTTGTTGTTGTTGTTGTTGTTGTTGTTGTTGTTGTTGTTGTTGTTGTTGTTGTTGTTGTTGTTGTTGTAAGATTCTGGCCCAAGATGAGGATTTTATTTCTCGTAGCCGTAGCGAGCTTTCTTGGGTGCCTGGGTCCCAAGTCCCAGGGTCCAGCCATGGATCAGAATCGAGGGTTTCGGGAAGTAGCGCCCCCCGATGAAGCTGAGCAGCATGCGCAGCGAAGTCAGCTAACCATGAACAAAACCGGCAAGCGAAGCTACCAAAGAGCTTGTAAAGTTGCCCTGGCGAAGGGAGCAGCACTTTACAAAGGCCGTCTTCTGACAGCTCAGGCTCTAGGAGCTCATGAAGGACAATTCGCGTCACCTGCGAAAGCGGAGAGGCGTTCTTTTCAACCGAACAGACAGATCCATCACAAATTTGACATGGAAGTCCTTACTTGGAACGCAGGCTCAATTACAAGTCGAGTTTGGAACGAGATTCTGGCCCTTTTGGCAACAACAGAGTACAAGAACATCAAAATCGTTTTCCTGCAGGAATCGCATTGGCAGCAGGACCAGGTCTACAGCTCAGGCCCGTGGTCAGTCCTAACCTGTGGCTCAACAAGCAGACACAAGGCTGGCCTGGTTGTCTTGGTGCATAGCTCACTGGCTCCTCTTTCAGAAATTCGCAGCACTTCCATAGTTCCAGGGCATTTGCAGCACGTCATGATCCCGTGGCAGAGATCCAGAATACATCTCCTGAACCTGTACCAGCACGTCTGGGATTCAAAGCTCTCGAAGACGGAAAACAGAGGCAGGAGAAAGGACGTGATGACACAGCTCGAAAATCGAATACAGAGAGTCCCACAACGTGACTTCTTGATTGTGGCTGGGGATTTCAATGCGCATGCGGTGACTGAACGTCCTCATATCGGACCAAGTGTGCCTCATCGAGTACGGTTTGCAAATGCGGATGTGAAGACACTGCCCTCGCTCTGCAAATCCTGTGGACTAACTGCGCTGAACACATGGGCTTCTGGCCATCGCAGTACGTATGCTAACAGTGATGGCACATATTCCTCTCAGATCGATTTTTTGCTGGTCAGACTGCACGATGCTCGGAGGAGATCCAAGGAGGCCTACTCGGATAAGAACTTTCCTGTGGCTGCCTACAGAGATGGATCAAAACACTTTCCAGTGCGAGCCACTCTGTTCATTCCTCCTTACAGTCCTACACCCAGCAAGCCACGGCCGTTTGATGCCACAGCCCTGGATGCGAGCTTTCGGCGGAAAGATGACAACTGGCAGGCATACTCACATCGTCTGACGGAAGCAGTGGTGAGGACAATGCAAGTGAGACCGTCTTGGCAAGAACTGGATGAAGTGATGGTTAGTGTATCAGCTGAGCACTATCCTCCTCCACGCAAGTCTCAGCCAGTAGCAGGTCCTATTCATCAGGAATACTGGAAGAAAGTGCGGCAAATCCAGGCGCACAAGAGGGCTGGAACCGAGCATAATTCAGAATGCCAGAAGCTTGTGGAGGACATCAAGGAGGAGGCGCGGACTTTCAAAAAACAGCAAAAACAAAGAAAGCTAGAGAAGCAAGAGCAGTTGCTTCTACAAGCCCAGGAAGATAAAAGGCAACAATCCCACAAACTGGCTCATACTCTCAGGAAACTTGCTCCGTGGCGCCCAGTGCAGAGAGTCAACCTAATACTCGAGTCAAATCTTCTCCAAAAGTTCTCCTTTGCACTCAGTAGCTGCTGTGCCCAGAGCAGCGATCACCGCCTTGCAGGTATCCTCACAAATCAAGACAGTGCCAGTGGGGAAAGCAGTCCCCAGCACCTCAGCCCCAGTATCAGCCTGGAAGAGTCTAGGTCCTGAAGCCCACGAACACATAGCAGGTCTAATCAACTCTGAGGTGTCCCAATCTGAAATTTCCCCTTATCTAAAGGACCCTCGAATTGCATGGATCCCCAAGCCGGGCAAGCCAGCCACCGCCATGAAAAACCTGAGGCCCATAGGAGTCATCAGCGTGCCAGGCAAAGTGCTAGCAGGCGCAGTGAAGACTCGCATTGCACCAGCACTGCAGGAGAGCTCACAGCTTCAGCCTCAATTTGCCTACATCAGGCAGAGGGGGGTGCGGGACGCCATCGCGAAAGCATGTCAGCACCTTGATTTCGTGCAGCAGCTCCGTCAAGTGCATCGCAGGGACCTGCACAAGTCCCAACGCGGGGCCAGGCAGGCTCAGCTGTCAGGGGCACTTACTATTTCGGTTGATCTGAGCAAAGCTTTTGATTCTGTTAATAGACATGAGCTGCTAGCTGCCTTGGATCGCCTGGGAACAGACCCTGTTACGAAAGAACTGGTAGTTCAACTACACAGTGAGACCTCCTACAACATGGGCACAAGTGGACTAGAGATTCAAGTTCCCACTTCTTCAGGAATCAAACAAGGTTGCAAGCTAGCCCCGGCATTGTGGTCTGCGCTGACACTTCTAGTCATGAGCAGAATGGAGCAGAAATGGGGCCCAGATAGCAAGCAAGCTAGGGACATCCTAACAGTCTTTGCAGACGATTTCCTGCTCCAGGAAACCTTCTCGAGCTTTCCTGAACTTCAGAAAGTCCTGCTCAGAATAGAGGCTCTCTTTCAGTCTCTTGAGGACGTGGGGCTGGAAGTCAATCCAACGAAGTCCAAAGCCTTGCTAATGGTTCAGGGCACTCAGCAGTCCATCTTTCGCAAGAAGCACACTATGCGCAAAGAGAAGCAGTTGCACATCGTCCTTCCCTCAGGACATAAGATTCCGATTCATCACAAACTAACATATCTAGGGGTGCAGCTCAGCTATGGATCCTACAAAGACCAGACTGTTGACTATAGGATCGCCCAAGCTCAAGGCAAGTTTGAGCTACTTCGACACATCCTGTGCTCCACTAAGGCCTTGGAGGCTTCAAAGAAGTTGGAGATCTGGAGGGTCTATGTGGAATCCTCACTCTTGCATGGGCTTGTGGCCACTGGCATCACCTCATCAGGTCTTCAGAAGCTTCAGAGTAAATACTCGAGGATGCTAAGATCCATCTTTAAGCAACATCAGCACTACAGCCATATTGACACGAAGACTCTGTTCGAGCAATATAAGGTTCAGACTCCTCAAGCAGTTTTGATCAGCCAGATGAAAAACTATCAAGACGCACTAGATGCCTGTCAGAAGTACAACCCGGATCAGAACATACAGTGGTATCTGGGACTTAGAGGTAGGATTGTTGCGCTGCAACAGGAGCTTCAGAGCATGCATTTGGACCTGACCGAGGCAGACCAGGAGGTACCGTGCTCTCTGTGCGATCGGAAATTTTCCAGCGCTAAGGGTCTTCAGCAACATACTCTGGTGAAGCATGGAGGACAGCGTGCGAATCAGCTAGGCCCAAAATTTCAGGTCACTGTGCATAGCTGCAAAGGACTTCCGCAATGTGCGGCATGCAACAGGCAGTTGCGCACAATGCATCAACTTCGCAGACATGTGGAGTCAGGCATTTGCCCTCAGCTGCACGAGCTGAAAAAACGAGCCAAATCCTGTACAAGCTCAGAAAGCATAGCTATGATCTATCAGTCTAGTGTGCAGGAACAACTTAAGAAGGATCCTGATCTTCTACTAAAAAAGAGACATGTCACTCAGCATCTATTAACGAACTGCAGTCTCTGTGGGCAATACATTGTTGGCCACAAAGGAGTGAAACAGCACATTCAGAAAGCTCATCCCGCTTTCTGGGCACAATCCTCGGCATCCATTCTTGCCAACATGCGAACACATAAGCGCCTCCTGCACAAAAAAGAGGAATGTAGGTATTGTCGCATTGTGGTAGATGCTCCAGTACGCCATGCAGAGCAATGTGTGGTTCTGCTTCAGACATACGCCATGAGTGCAGCTTGTGCCAAGCCTATGGAGCTGCCAGATCTCTTCAGTGCAGATCCTCCAATTAGCCAGGTGAGAGGAAGGGAGGCTTCCTCCCAGGAGGCTTCCTCCAGCAGCCGAGCTTCTTTGCTGACATACACTGCACGCGTCTCGGGTCGTTCAACCACTGCACCTCCCACAGCTTCCATGCAAGACGCTGCCTGGCGTCTAGCTTATCATAATCCGCATCAACTGTGCTATGCACACACGGTCGTTCATATCCTTATCTCTCTCTTGTCAGACGGACTGTTCCCAGATCCTTCTTTAAATTCCATCCTAACGGAAATAGGTTCCCTGAATGGCAGATCCTCTCATGCGGATGTTCGGAGGTTGCGACATCTTCGTCCGCTGCTAGCAGGATGGCGATTACGACCCAGGCAGGAGGATGCATCTCAATTTCTGTTGCATATCTCTCAGCGTATTCCAGATCTTTCATCAGATAAATGGGAGGCGCGAGTTCATATCTCAGCACCGGAGGAACGCATAAGTGTTGAGGAAAAAGGTGGCTTGATTCTGTATCTACCCGAGCCGCCGGATGGACCCTCGACTCTACAGCAATCAGTAACACAATGGACGAACAGGGGTAGTGTGTTTGCCTTGCTTCCAGATACAAGACTCATTTGCCTACAAATTCAAAGATTTGATCAGCAAATCAAAACTTCCCGCCCACAAGCGCTGGACACAGTTCTTGAGATGCCAATGTTTCAAGATAACGGAACCTCAACAGAAGCAGTGTCCTTTAGCCTCTATGCATTCATTATCCATATCGGCGAAGACTGGAGCTCTGGACATTACCGAGCGGGGTTTTGGAGAGATGGAGTTGCGTACCTAGCTGATGATAGTGATCCGCCAAGATGCACCATGCTCCTCTCGGATCAAATATGCCGAGGATCGTACTTGGCCTTCTATGTAAGAGATTAGATTCAGCCAGGCAGCCATGAGGCAGGCCTTTGCCCAATTGTCAGCACCCGCCAAGTCCAAGCACGCATGCGGAGGTTTCCTCCGGAGGCATCCTCCGCAGCAGTGTTCTTCTTAAAGAAGACCTATCTGCCTGCTGTTGCTTAAGGCAACTCGGCATGAATGCTGCCCTGCGCGCAATAAAGCCATGATCTCGTGCTAAAAAGTACAGTCTCTTGCATGAACCTTCACATGCGGAGGTTTCCTCCGGAGGCTTCCTCCCCGGTAGTGTTTCTTACAGTAGACCGATCTGCCTGCTGTAGCGTAAGGCCAAGCTTACCCATTTTTGTCCCTGAACCTGAAGCATCTGTAAGAGCCCTGTGCGCACTTCCTTTGACCCCAGCAAAATTCCCCCCCGAACATGTGAGGCCTCCTCAAGGACGGTGGGTTCAACTTAGAGTCACTTTTTCGGATGCAACCTGCCTTGTCGCAGCGCTGGCCCCGAGAGCCGTGCAAGGTGTCCCAGGTCAGGTGCTTCCCTCTTCGCAAAGTACTCGTACCTATGTGAGACCTCCTCCAGCCTGGTGGGTTAAGTTCGGTCAGTTGGGGTCACATTTTCTCGACCAGGTATGAAATTTTGCCCTGTCGCAGCGCTGGCCCCAGGAGCCGCGCAAGGCGTCCCAGGCCAGACTTCGCAAACTCAGCTTCCCTGCATCCAATTTGGGCATCCTACTTGGAACGTGCAAGGCGCCTTGGTGCGCTCTGCCTACGGCCCTCTGCCAGTTGTTTAGCGTTACCTGTGTGAGACGTCACTAGACGGGAACGCTGAGTGTCGGCCTCACCAGAGGTACGGCTCGCTAAACAGCTGGTGCGTGGGTGCTGGACGCAGTGACTCACAGTAGGGTGTCGGGGTAGCCGCGCTTACTTTTCACTCTTTTGCAGTGCTGAGTACTTGATATCGGTGGCTGCCTCCGTGCCAACTTCAATTTCTTCATTGATTCATTGCATCAGGTCAGGAGGTTTCCTCCTGAATATCCTTAAGTACTCTGCCAAAGCAGATTCAGTATAGCAGGTAGTGAGACCTGGCAATCTGGAGGAAGCGATCCTCCCGAAGTCCAAAAGGCCGGACTGTGAAATAACAAAGGCGGGTGAGACCTTCTATATCACCCTTGCCCGCCTTAATCACACCAAACTCAGCTAGCGCACAGCTATAGCCTGCAACACAACATCGGGGCCAGCCGGCACTGCAGCAGTCGCGGGTGCAGGTGAGCCAGTAGGAAGCGGTCGTAGGGTGCCCAGCCAGCACAGCGCTATCGCAGCCCCGAGGGGCGGATGCATTCCACATACTCGAACATAGCTGTGCACAACAATCTTCAGCAGCCCCGAGGGGCGTGAAGTACGAACTAGCAAAGACTGCTGGAGCTCCCAAGGCGGACACAGAGTAGCCGACTTGCCGAGGATCCAAAGTTGTTGTGATGTGTTGTTGTTGTTGTTGTTGTTGTTGTTGTTGTTGTTGTTGTTGTTGTTGTTGTTGTTGTTGTTGTTGTTGTTGTTGTTGTTGTTGTTGTTGTTGTTGTTGTTGTGTTGTTGTTGTTGTTGTTGTTGTTGTTGTTGTTGTTGTTGTTGTTGTTGTTGTTGTTGTTGTTGTTGTTGTTGTTGTTTTGTTGTTGTTGTTGTTGTTGTTGTTGTTGTTGTTGTTGTTGTTGTTGTTGTTGTTGTTGTTGTTGTTGTTGTTGTTGTTGTTGTTGTTGTTGTTGTTGTTGTTGTTGTTGTTGTTGTTGTTGTTGTTGTTGTTGTTGTTGTTGTTGTTGTTGCGGTTGTGGTTGTGGTTGTTGTGGTTGTTGTTGTGGATGTTCGCCAAAGTAGCAGTTGTAGTGGTGTTGCAGTCGTCGTTATAGGAGTGGTCGTCCGCCAAGTAGTGGTGGTGGTGTCGTGGTCGTGGTTGGCAGACCGTAGCAGTTGCAGGAGGGAGTAGTAGCAAGAGAAGTGTTCGTCGCAGCAGCAGCAGTAACACTGGTAGTGGTAGTTGCGGTAGTCGTAGACTGGTCGTAGTCGCAGGCGAAGTCTCGTCGTCGTAAAAGTGGAAGTGTTGGGGTTTCAGAGTTTGGGGTTCAGGAGCCAAACTTCAGATTGGTTCCAGCTTCCGAGTGAAACAAAGCGGGAGAGTGCCGCACCTCCATTTTGTCGTTAGGCAAAAAGTCCATGTAGCCACACCGTCCCCCACTGTGCTTTCTCCAATTTGGCAGCGAACTCGCAGAAGGGCAGGCGTGCAAGTGGCCACGCTCCAGCCACGAAGACCTTGTAAGTGCAAGTGGAAACAACTTGCACGGCCGTTTGCAGCTGTTCCACCGTGTCCGGCAATGCAGCAAAGTACTGTCCCAGGAAAGCCGCAAGCAACATGGAGTGCCAACTTCGGCGAACAGCAGCCATTGTCATCACCGTCTGCGTGGCAAGCTGTTGCCAGACTGACAGGGGCGTGTCATCATGATCGAGGTATCTGATCGCAATGGCGCCTTTGTGCGGCGAGTTCCACACGCATCACGCCCCAAGGTCGGAGCGCCAGAGAACTTGACTCGCGCCCGTCACCTGGGTACTGCCGCAGCACCCTCGGGGGAAGATCAATGGTCAGTGCCATGGCTTGCCTAGTTTCTAGCTAGCGGACTCGGATGAGTCCGCTATCGGTGCTACGTGCGTTAGCTTACTCCCGCCAGGGTTAGAGTGAGCTTAAATTGAGCCACGCATATACAGCGCAACACAATCAAGGAGCCTGCACGCACTTTAAGGCCAATCAGCCTCCGCGCAAAAGCTGTCCTTGTTCTACCAATCCTGGCTCTGGGCCCTTGTGCAGGGCACCGCACGAATTGAGTGGCCAACCGAGCAGGACAACATTCTCCACAATAGCCCCTGTGAGCAAGGCCAGACTGCGACAACGTACAACTGATTTCACAGCAATGGCCCGAACACAGTGCATCATTCGTCTCAGTCGCCCGGAGCAGTTTGGGGGTAAAGTGGGCAGGGACCTCCGCAATGCGGAAAAGCCACATTCACTAATGCCGAATTGAGACGAACCACCGTCTTTGGACCGCTCTTCTGTGGCAGGGATCGGCTGCATAGACACGTACAGTTGATGATGAGCCCACGGCTGGAGGATGTCCAACAACGGCCGCCAGTGCCCCTTGACTTGCATCAAGAGCTGTGCCGGGCGCCAGTGGGAGTTGAAGGATAGACGGGTAAGCCCTGGCCGCCAGGTCTGCTCCATTCGTTTGGCGGCACCGTGCGTGTGAAGCTAAGGCAGCCAGTGCAGGCACGCTCCACTATCGTAGCCAGCGCCTCTTGGCTCCTCGGCTGCCTCCTCCTCGGCCAACTTCTCAACGTGTTGCCAAATGTTTCCCATATGGGAGCGGTCGTGCACCACCTGTTACGTGGAAGCTTTGAGCCCAAACTTCCACAACGCCTGATGCTCAATACAATTTTTGGGCGGGCATGACCTCTGGGGTGGTAACCTGTTAGGGAATAGGGTTTCTTTAGGTTCAACCGTATTCCCTGCAAGGTTACCGCTCGAAAGGTCACGTCCGGCAGTTTTTGTAGGCCCTAAGCGTCTACGACGTTTTAGGGGGCTGCAACAGTCTTTTGACTCGGGGGAGGACTGGACTGTCGGATAGGCAGTTGGTATCGCTCCATATTTGCATCAAGGATGGCTGCAATGCAGATATCCACGATGGCTTGCAGATTCTCTTGCTAATGAAGGCGGGCTTTAACGGTGGCAACCTCGGTCTGGTGCTTAGATCCCAAGCTTCAATGACTCTAATAAGGGCCACGGGGGGGCCTCCGATGCAGGACCGAACAGAGTGCGCGGACAACACGGGTATACGCTCCCTCACTGAGCGCTCGACCAGCGCCCACCTACCCCAAAAGACAAGAGAGTAGGGTGGCGGGTGGGTTTAGGGTTTAGGGTTTAGGGCTTAGGGTTTAGGGTTTAGGGTTTAGGGTTTAGGGTTTAGGGTTTAGGGTTTAGGGTTTAGGGTTTAGGGTTTAGGGTTTACCCTCATGGGCCTACCCGCTCTTGGGGAGATGCCTCTTCGATGCTACCAGGTTTCACCCGGGCTCTTTCCTCAGGCCCGCTGTCCATACTGCCCAAACTATGCACAACAGCGTCCCTAAAGCCTGATGCCTACGCCCTACACCCCAAACCTAAACCCTGAACCCTACCTGGGGTGTTGCAGTTCCGAACAGGGCTTGGCACTGATCGTTTGTTCAGCCCAGAACTTACTCTCAGGATTCCTAAGACCCCTATCGGCGTTGCTCGAGTCCCTAAACCCTAAACCCTAAACCCTAAACCCTAAACCCTAAACCCTAAACCCTAAACCCTAAACCCTAAACCCTATGAGTTGGGAGTAGTCTCTCTGCTGATCGTGCAAGTCTTTGCATGAGTGTCCACATTGGGGTGATGTATACTTCCACTGTAGCTGCATCATTCTTGCCAACTTGCGCTTGGCGTGATGATGTACAAGTTGTTGAAACTCCCTATTTCATGTGACTGTTCATGACAACATGAACTACTAGAAATTTTTCGTGTCACGGGCAATGTATAGTTCCGATAAGCACCGAAATCCTTGCTATGGCCAAATCGGAAACCCACCCTAAACCCGCAACCCTGACCCTAAACCCTAAACCTTAAACCTTAAACCCTAAACCCTAAACCCTAAACCCTAAACCCTAAACCCTAAACCTTAAACCCTAAACCCTAAACCCTAAACCCTAAACTCTAAACCCTAAATTCTAAACCTTAAACCCTAAGCCCTAAACACCAAACCAGTTCGTCCGAAGTTCTGAGACGAATCCAGCCATGGTCTGCTCCTGCCACTTTCGGCAGGGCTGCATGATTATCAGCGTGTCCCTGGGCGGGTTTAGGGTTTTAAAGGCTCAGGGTGTAGGATGGGCTGTGAAACATGCAATCTAGGCGAGGCAAGAGAGTGTAAAACAACTGCGGCATCCTCAGCACAATGCAAAGCCCTACTCAAACGCAAGCGCTAGAATCCTGAGATTCTGTTGGTCACTGGGATCGCATGGTTGATCTTGGCGTGAAGTGTTCGGGTTTGAAGCCATGCAAATCCTCTCTATGTCGTTACCTTTCGAGGCCATGCACGCAGACTTTTTCAAACGGCGCACAACAAAAGCTTAGCCTTCCACTTTCGTGTGTGCTTCGGACATATGCTTGCTGCTTCATGCATTGTGCTGCAAGCCATGCTGCAAGATATCAAAGGGGGGTTTACGAACATAAGGGACCCCCTTACATAGAACCCCAAAATAGTAGGATTCCTGTAGAATAGGGACCCCTAACATAGAACCCCAAAGTAATAGGATTCCTTTAGAATAGGGACCCCAATAAGGTTCCCCAAATATCGCACACCGCCAAATGAGCACACTGGAGGCCCGCTTTTCCATATCCTTGGCAGGACGCCAGTAGGCTCAGTACTCAAGAGAAGGGTTTAGGGTTTTAGGGGTTTAAGGGTCTAAGGGTTTAAGGGTTTAAGGGTTGAAGGGTTGAAGGGTTTAAGGGTTTAAGGGTTTAAGGGTTTAGGGTTACGATACAAGCGCGTGCCACGTCTAGTGTTTTTGGTATACGCCGACGCCGTGACCTCCCGGGGCGCCCTGAGCCTTTAGGCTGAAAGTTTCGGTCCTTGTGCCTTGCGTTCCTCAAGGAGTTCAAGGATCAGCGGAAGTTCCCCTAAACCCTAAACGCTAAGCCCGAAATCCTAAGCCCTGAACCCTGAACCCTAAAGCAACAAAGGTTGATGATTCCGCCGGTCTCAGTGCTGCTGTGGTCAGGGAGCAGACTGATGGACCGCGTTTCAGGGTCCCTTGCGGAGCGCCTGAAGCTTTACAGCTCTGCTGAGTCTACTGAGTCCACTGAGCCCACTGAGTCTACCGAGGAGGAGCAGGAAGCAATGGTGTATGTCCATATACACATGGCCAAGACGGGAGGCTCGTATGTCAATGGAGCTCTGGCGTTGAATTACGAGCGTGCGTGTGGGGAGAAGGGCAACTCCTATGATGCCTATCAGGCCAATCGGCGGTACGCAAATTATGTTGCTTACAGACACCCAGATTTTGAGTTGCACATTTTCTTTCTTTGAGCTAACAAGGCTCCTGCATCAAAGCTATTTTCATACTGAATGAACTAGGAAATGTTTTCCTGATCTCCTTGGGCACTACGCATCAGAGGAGATTCCATCAGCCGAGTCTCGCCGGGATTTCACCGGCAGAGGGTGCCGTCATGGATCTTAGCTGAGGTTGGCTACGAGGACTGCGACTGGCTGTCCATGGAAAGGAAATGGTGGTACCTACGGTGTCCTGAGGAGTGTTTTTGTGTGTAAACATGTAACTCAAGGTAATATATGTACATATATGTACACATGATGTTTCTTCAATGGCTCTGTGGGGAGTATAGGTATTGGAAGAAGCTTGAGAACTGGACGATTGAGTTCCACCTGCCTTGTCGAGATCCTATTGATCACTTGCTGTCCATGTGCAACTACGGAGGGCGAGTCCTGAACTGCAGTGGCGACTTGGTGCACCAGCTTGATCGTTGCATCATACACAAAGACAGGTATAGCGACAACCTGACTTCTTTGGATGAGTTCCCCAATGCCAGATTCAAGTGTTACAACTACTCGATGACATCCGAGTACATCGGGTACATGAGCACCCTTCTCCAGAAGAAGAAGCGCCTGTCCAAGTATGTGTATCGTCCTACAAACAAGCCTCGGAATGCGAGCCGCGAGTGCTTGCTGGACAATGCCTCGGCCAGGTTCGCGGCGGAACAGCGCCTCAATTTTTTAGCCGAGCCATCCCCAAGCGCCATCCCAAGCACTGAGCCCGAAAGGTTTAGGGTTTAGGGTTTAGGGTTTAGGGTTTACGGTTTAGGGTTTAGGGTTTGGAGTTTGGGGTTTAGGGTTTCGGGGCAAAGCACCTAGGGGCTTAGGGTGGGTAGTACTAGGTGGCAGTCGGTCAAGTCGGTCAGAGGTGGCAGGGGGTTAAGCGGCTACTACTGGGAGGTTCAGGGTCCTTAATTATTCACCAAGTATATCTGCACTTGTAACCCAAATCACAACCAGATCAGGGCACTTAAGGGGCTTATAAGTGGGTTATAAGTACAGTTATCATTGGTTAACAAGCAAAGATGAACCTCCCAGCACCCCAGCCGTTTTCCAGGTACTTGAAGAGGATGCCGTACTACGCATTTTGCGACCAGTGCGTCGGTTCACGGCGGGATCTTCTTCTTGCGCAGATGGCCACATCCGAAGATTGGAAAGAGGGGGCCGGAAATATGTCCCCAAGCACTGCGCAGGAGGAGCTTGTCCTGTACGCCCATGTCCACATGGAGGAAACTGGGAGCTCATATGTCAATGAAGTGCTGTCCTTGAGCTACGAGCGTGTGTGTGGGCAGAATGGTTATTCCTACGATGCCTATCAGGCTCACCTAAGACACCTAGCAAATCTTTCCGACAGAGGCCCGGATAGGGTTTAGGGTTTAGGGTTTAGGGCTTAGGGCTTAGGGCTTAGGGCTTAGGGCTTAGGGCTTAGGGTTTAGGGTTTAGGGTTTAGGGTTTAGGGTTTAGGGTTTAGGGTGTAGGGTTTAGGGTGTTGAGTACTGTTTTTTTGCATGTGGATCCCCTTTGATACTGTAATGATGTCGGACCTTTTGTCTGGGTGCTCCTGACAGACACGTTTCCCGGCCTCAGCCAAGTTCGGGATCATTCTTTGGGTGTTGGGGTGGGGCCCTCTTCACTGAACCCGTGAACCCTGAACCCTAAACCCTGAACCCTAAACCCTAAACCCTAAACCCTAAACCCTAATCCTAAACCCTACTCCCTACTCCCTAAACCCTAAACCCTAAACCCTAAACCCTAAACCCTAAACCCTAAACCCTAAACCCTAAACTAACCCTAAACCCTAAACCCTAAACCCTACAGCCTAAACCCTACACCTGGGAGACTCTTGGGGTTCACGGTGGCCGGCTTCTCAGGTCCAAAAACACACTGCAGGCTCGCCCGTTTTCCGAACCTTCCCCATCCCTCGCAAACTCACTTGCGGAACTGCCTAGCTTCCCTTCCGAAAGGTTCGTGCTCGCCATTTTCAATGTCCTTTCTGACCAGTCCTATGGAGTAATTCTTTTCGTAAATGCTCTTGGCTGGAGAATCAACCGTAATATATGTATACATATATATATATATATAGATACACATATACATATATACATATGCACATGTATATGTGTCGGTATGCGCCTGTTTTCCTACCCTTTAAATCAGGGTTGAGGCTACTGAACCGACTCTCGCGGCCTCCTCAACAGGGTTTGGGGTTCAGGGTTTAGGGTTTAGGGTTTAGGGTTTAGGGTTTGGGGTTTGGGGTTTAGGCTTTTGGGGTTCAGAGTGGTTGTTTCGGTTCCTAGGGTGCAGCACCCGTACAAGGACCCAGAAAGGGGCCCTAGTTTAGAGGCCCCAAACGCACAAGAGACTTCCATGGCGTTTTGCCATTCTTCTTGTGACGAATGCATTGTGCTCTTACTCTTGCGTCCATATCTCATGATATCTCGTGGAAGCGTTATTGTGGAATATCCCTGTCATGCTGCCTTTCATAGAACTTTCGTTAACATTTTCCCTTTCAGAATTCCCTTCGAGCTTCTCAGGAGCCAAGCTGCCCTAGGGTTTTAGAGTTTAGGGTTTAGGGTTGAGGGTTGCTTGAGGGTCTCACATAACGAAGGGTCTACCGCCACCAAGCCGAAAAGGGTGTGTCCGGGCACGGTCCCCAGGCAGAAGTGCCAGCGGCAGCAGGGCTTTGCAAATGGTCCAAGGCTTGATCCGAGTCGCTGGAAGGCGCAAGAAGCTGGGGCGGAGGAAGCAAGATGTTGACTGGCAAAATCGCGGACAACTTGGTGAAGGTCGCGCGAAGCGAGGGGCTGAAGAGCAAAGTCGTGGCAATTTCACGCGCGAGAAACTCGATGAAGGGCGCAGCAAGCGAGGTGCTGAGTCGCGAAGTCGAGGGAACTTCACGCGCAAGAGCCTGGGTGAAGGTCGCAAGAAGCGAGAAGCTGAGTTGCGAAGTCCTTGGGATGTCGTAAACCAGAAACTTCGTGACAGGCGCAAAGAGCAAGAGCTTGAGCGGCAAAGAGGTGCGAACGTCGCGCCCCAGAAGCGAGGTACCAAGCAGGGAAGTGGCAGGAACGCCACAGGCAAGCAGCGAAATACTAGTCGCAAGCTTCCTCGTCGGCGTCGTCGTAATTTCACAGATTCCATGAACCTACTTGATGGCAACTACTCCAGACATCAAGTTTCTGTTCAGATGATGAATGAGATCGGCTACGAGGACTGCGACTGGGTGGGTCAGGAGAAGAAATGGCCCTACTGGAAGAGGTTCCTTAGCGAGATTCTTGGGAATACATGTGAATTTTAGGGTACCGCAATTCTTAAGAAGCAGCTAATGTGATAAAATTTTCCCTCGGGTCTCCAAGTTCAGAAAAGGTTCAGGGACTGGAGGATCGAGTTCCACGTCCCTTGTGGCGATCCTCTTGAGCACTTGCTGTCCATGTGCCAGCGCAACAGGCAAGTCTTACACTGCCGTAGCGACTTGGCACGCCAGCTTAATGCTTGCATCAAGGGCTTGAAGGGCAAGATTACCGAGAAGCTGAATTCTTCAACGCTGTTCCCTAAGGGCAGGCTTAAGTGCTACAACTTCTCGATGGCACTTGAGTACATCGAGTACATGGGCACTCTGCTCCAGAAGAGGAGGTATGTGCCAGAGCGTGCGGATCGGACTCTGTATCAAAGAGTTCGGCCCCGGATCATCAGCAGGGAGTGCTTGCTGCACAACGCCTCGGCCAGGTCCATAGCGTTGAAGTTCCTGAAGACGGTGCCGTACTACGCGTTCTGCAGCCGGTGTGTTGGTTCAAAGCAGGATCTTCTTCGGAGAGACCACAAAGCCCTGGAAAGATCGTTTCTGCGTGCGGCATCCTTGAGGATATCGGATGATCTGAGGCCCGGACCCGCCCCCCCCCTTTAACCCATCTCAGTCCTACAGTAGGTTTAAATTTGCTTCTTATCCCTTCAGACTCTCAGGTGCTCCTTGTTCGGTGCACTGCGGCAGTCTATGTGGTTTGTGGATCTAGAGAATCTAGGGCTTTGGGTTGTCCGGCCTAGACTTAGACCTGTCAGTATCCTAAGCACCCTAGACTTTCACCCCAAGCCCTAACCTGCACCAGAGCCCTCCAACCAAAATTTGCCTTAAGCCGTAGAGCTCAAACCCTAAACCCTAAACCCCAAACCCTAAACCCTAAACCCTAAACCCTAAACCCTAGACCCTAGACCCTAGACCCTAAACCCAAACCCCCCGACCTTGAGCCCCTCAGCCAACAACCCCAGACCCCCACATCCTCTGCCGTGGCTCGCCCTGAAACTCGGGCATTTAGGTACTTAGACTATTGAAGGTTCTTTTCGGGAATGCATCCCTCAAAGAATACACATGTGTACGCCTCTCTCTCTCTCTCTCTATATATATATATATGTATAGATAGATACATACATACAGACATATATATATATATATATATATACATGTATGCATGCATGTATGTATGTATGTCTGTATGTCTGTCTGTGTACACGTGTATATGTACATGCATATGTTTGCATATAGTTTGTATACCAGGAATCCCATCTCCATGTAGCATTTAATCCTTAAATCAGTTCAAATCACATGCAGGCCTATACCTCAAATGCCCCGAGCGCCCTGTACCCTAAACTGCAGCTCGAAGCCCGCAAGAGCCCAAGAGGCACCCCATCCCAACTACCCCAAGCCCAAGTCTCGGGTCAGATTCAGGCTTTGGGCTTTGTAGGGTTAGACCCTAAACCCTGAACCCTATATAAACCCTAAACCATGGTACCTTGACGATATTCTGCAAGGCCGGCAATTTAAGACAATTGGGAAGGATCATTTCAACGCACCGAGCACGGCTGTTGGGGCACGGGAGAATAGCTCTTGAGTAAGCAGCACTCAACAGTAGCTAGACCCTAAACCCTAAACCCTAAAACCCTAAACCCTAAACGCTAAGGACTCTTGGAGTGCATGCTAAGAGAACCCCTCTGGGAGGATGTCGGGCTTTGCGGTTGGATTCAGGCTGTTCAGGGTTCAGGGTTCAGGGTTCAGGGTTCAGGGTTCAGGGTTTAGGGTTCATGGGTTTTCGGGTTTTTAAGCTTCTTCAACCCATGCCCTTGTCTTGCAATGCCTCGCACGATGTCGGCCCTGAGCTCTCGGCGCGCGTTGCGCGCACAGGTGGCAGCGCCCTCCCGCGCCCCGCCCCAACTTGCACCATGCCGTAAGTAACTAAGTACCTGCTATGAAGGACCCTCTGAAACTCATAAAGGTTCAGTTGGGAGGCCTGAAGTAAAGCTCTCTCAATCCGAACCCCAGGATCCGAAACTTCAGAAGCACTCTGGACTGCCAGAGCTGGTTTGTCTTCATGTGGCAACATGAGCAACCCAGGCAGCTGCAAACCTCTACACCCTAAACCCTAAACCCTAAACCCTAAACCCTAAACCCTAAACCCTAAACCCCCTCCCCCAAAAGGCAGAAGGAACACTTTGCCCCAACAGAGAGCCATGCCACGGCCGGGCGGGCCGAAAGAGGCGCCCTGCATGGGGTTCTGGTGTATTGGGGGCGGGGCAAGGATAGGGCCCCGGAGTTTCCCTAGAACACCCCCCCCCACGCCCGCAACCACCAAAAAGTTCAGAACCGTCAGCCCCCCCAATAGACCCGAAGACTCTGAGACCCTAAGGCTCTAAGACCCTGAGCAAAGGAGCCCCCAAGCCCCTAAGGCCATAAGATCCCTGAACTCCGGAAGCAGTGCAGTGGCTCAGGAGGACCTCGCCGAGGCGGACCTCATTCTTGATCCAGTCGTTGTCGAGAATGTTTTAGGGTTTTCAGGGTTTTTGTTGGGGCTGTCAGTGTGCTTTCTTCCTGTTGTTCGGGTTGCTTCACAAGTTGTTTGGGCTTTTGAGGTCACTGTTTAGGTGAGGTGCTGGGGCGAGACGTTCGTTACGGCTTTTAGGATTTTGGGGTTCGGGTGTTACCCTAAACCCTAAACCCTAAACCCTAAACCCTAAACCCTAAACCCTAAACCCTAAACCCTAAACCCCCTAAACCCGTTTGTTGGGTAACGCCCGTTTGCTGCACAGAGCTCCGGGCTTCTCGGGTCCTGGGCTCCAGTGTCAGGGTTCTTCCCCCTTATCCTAACATTCGTGCCCCCTTATTACTGCTAGTATGAGGGGGAACATCCCAACACGTAGAGGGCTCTTGTAGAGTGTTTTCGTTTTTTTTTTTGTTGGCCGAGGTGTTTCTGCCGAAGCAAGTTCTCCTGTGTGCGCGGACTGCGCATATGGTCGGTTCTCGCAGGTATGATTTCACTGTGTAGAGGTCCGGTAAAGAGAAGGGGCCCCGCAAAAGATTCAAAAGTGGGACCGTCGTTCAGTCAGAGAAGACCCCCCGATGGGCTTCTCTTCAGAGGCAACTGTCAACCGAGATCCATTCCGGTTCCCCTCCCCCCACCCACCCCTCACACACAGAAGAGGAGTAGGGTTTAGGGTTTAGGGTTTAGGGTTTAGGGTTTAGGGTGTAGGGTTTAGGGTTTAGGGTTTAGGGTGTAGGGTTTAGGGTTTAGGGTTCAGGGTCCTCAACAGGATCCCAAGGGCTTGTCTCGGCTCTTGGCGCGAAACCACGTGGCGATCATGCAGCGCTTGGACGAGCAGGAGCCAAACCCTACACCCTAAACCGCCCAGGGGGATAGGAGGTGTGTAGGGTTTAGGGTTTAGGGTTTAGGGTTTAGGGTTTAGGGTTTAGGGTTTAGGGTTTGGGGTTTGGGGTTTGGGGTTTGGGGTTTATCTGACCTGCTCCTGCTCGCGCCTCAGGCCCCACCACAGAGCTTCAGCCCAGACTTTCTCAAAAGGGGTCTAGAAGGGGACCCCGTACCTATCCCTAAACCCTAAACCCTAAACCCTAAACCCTAAACCCTAAACCCTAAACTCTAAACCCTAAACCCTAAACCCTAAACCCTAAACCCTAAACCCTAAACCCTAAACCCTAAACCTTACACCCTAAACCCTGAACCCGAAACCCTAAACCCTAAACCCTAAGCCCTACACCGAAGTAGCCCCCAAAGAACCCCTAAAGAACCCCGAAGGTCCCTTATAAGGGTCCCTCCTTTCGTCCTTTGATCTTCAAAAGCGGCCGAAGCTCCCACACCACTCGGCAGTTGTCCGCACAAGGGTTCCCGTTTCTCCAACTGTAAACCCCTGAACTCTCCGGAGCCCGTAGGACCTATAAAAACCCTGAACCCGTAAGCCCTGAACCCTAATCCCTTCGGAGCCCTTCTCAGCCCTAAACCCGGAACCCTGAACGCCAAACCCTAAAGCCTAAACTCGAAACTCGACACCCTAAACCCTGAACCCTCAATCCTAAACCCTAAACCCTAAACCCTGAACTCTACACCCTAAACCCTTAACCCGAAATCCTGAACCTTACGCCTGTTCTTGCCAGGACACGATCTTACGTGACTGAGCTCTGCTATCACTATTTGGCCTTGTTTCAAAGGTTGAGGGTTTAGGGTTTTGGGACGTTGGCCTAAACCCTAAACCCTAAACCCTAAACCCTAAACCCTAAACCCTAAACCCTAAACCCTAAACCCTAAACCCTAAACCCTAAACCCTAAACCCTAAACCCTAAACCCTAAACCCTAAACCCATAGGTCATGCAGCAAACAAAAGGCCCCAAAGCGATCTGAGGTGAGCTCTTGTCACAGGCTCGGAAGCCTCCTCGGCTTTCGTACGGCCTGTGCCTCGACATGGTCAAGCTAAGGGATTTTGTTGAGGGTTTGGGCTGTAGGGTCTAGGGGTTGGGAGAAGTTGGGTTTAGGGTTTAGGGTTTAAGGTTTAGGGTCTAGGGGTTTGGGAGAAGTTGGGTTTATGGTTGTGAGGGTTGAGGGTTGGCGGTTTGGGGTTTAGGGTTTAGTGAGGGCTTCCGATGCATTTCGAAGAATACTTTCCCAGAAGCTTTCCATCCAAGCCGAGCATGACATTTTGCGAAGCCTGACCCCAACTCCCTGCTACACCTGGAGTCCTGAACAAGCAAGATTAAGCAGTCAAGGGCATGCAGGGTCTGGGCGGCCTTTTTGCAACCTAGGGTTTAGGGTTTGGGGTTCTCCCTGCGGCTTCCTTTCTAGCCTGTGCAAGGAGGTCAGCCCGCAACATGCTTGTGAAATTAGTAGCCCAAAGGTGCTACTTTCGTTCGCAGCCCCGTAGTCTCCGTGTGCACCTCTACAGTAGCTTAAGCACCAGCAACCTGAATCATAAACCCTAAGCCGATCCATTCCCCCCTCAAGCAGCCGCAAGACAAAAACCCCAAAGCCTAAACCCAAGAAGCCCTAATCCCAATCCCAAGTCGTCGTCGAAATGCTGAACCCTCAGCCCTCAACCGTCTTGCTGTTGCCTAGCAGGGAATGAGGGAATTCGGGCCCTATATATACCCTTACCCATTCCCTTCATTCCCTACTAACCCACAGTAACCCTAAACCCGAAACCCGAAACCCTAAACCCCAAACCCTAAACCCTAAGCCCTAAACCAAGAACCCTAAACCCTAAGCCCTAAAGAGCACCAGTAAGTAGAGCCTGGAGCAGGAGCCAGATTGTGAAGCGGCACTCGCATCGCGAGTCGCCCAAGGTGCTCCAAGACTATGGGGGTTGCAGGGGTTGCAGGGGTTGCAGGGGTTGCAGGGGTTGCAGGGGTTGCAGGGGTTGCAGGGGTTGCAGGGGTTGCAGGGGTTGCAGGGGTTGCAGGGGTTGCAGGGGTTGCAGGGGTTGCGGGGTTAGGGTTTAAGGTTTAGGTTTTTAGGGGCTTTGGGGGGTTGGGGGGCCTAGGGTATAGGGATGAAAGGGGGCTGAGGGAGCCAGGTCTTTCTGGGGATTGTCCAAGAGGGTTGTAGCAGACAGGCCCCCTTCTCCCCTCCGGGAATCCCTCGCGCTTAGAGAGTGGTTTGCGGAAGTTCGGGTTCAGAGAGGGAGGATAAAGGGACCCCTACCTCCCCCACTCCGCCCCGGGAAGCTCCGGATCCCTTTTAAACTTCAAACCTCGTGGCTTTAGGAGGTTTGGTATGCTTCCGGCTGTCGCCGTACTTGGAATTCATGGGCAGCTGATTTTTTGGAGGTTATAAGTAGGGTTATACGTAGGCTTACGTCAGAGCTCGTTTCAAAAAGCCCCGAAGAACTTTCAAGAAAGCTCCATTATGCCAGCAGACCCCCTCCACCCCCCCCAACAGTGAAAGACCGCATGGGGACACGAAGAGCTTCATGGGTCATGAAAGAACGACTTTGATGCCACTGGAGGTCGAATGGCAACGTCCCAAAATGCAAAGACGTCCAAATGCGATGACAGCTTTGCATCTGGCGAACCCCGACGTTCAAAAGCTACGACAGTTTGCCATTTCGCGCACCCCACGTGCGACGACAGTTACAGAACGAGCGATGCGCACGGCGCCTAGGCAGGAGCACGATTTCCAACATCGTGAATTGCACATCCCCTTAGCCTGGACGCACGTAGCGAACTCATCCAATGGCACAAAATGCAGAATTCCTTGCTCTTGCCGCGTTTTCGGACGCTTCCTTATAGCGATGCAAGGCACGAGGCACCCAGAAACACCACGAAATGGGCATGGCGAGAAACATCCAAGAAGCTAGACCGCCGTTCGAGCAATAGCGCGTGTTCGTGGGCGCTTCGGCGGCCGGCGAGCAACTCAATCGAATGTTCTTTTACCCTGGACGTAAGAATCCCTAGTGTTGGCACACTGTTTGGGGAAATTTAACAGCGCAGGGTGAAGAACCCTAAACCCTAAACCCTAACCCTTCAACCCTAAACCCTAAACCCTAAACCCTGAACCCTGAAACCTAAACCCGAAAGCTAGGTCGACCCACCACTAATGCTTCCCTCATGTCTATCTCTTTGGGGGTCTATGTAAACCCACATGGAGTGTAGCAGGGTCCTCTTGCAAGCAGAATTCGGGATCTCGTCCTGAGGCGTCCTCAGAGGATCTGGGTGCCACCGAGACGCCTAACCCTCAGCGGGTCACTTGAGGCTTACGGTTCTAGCTACTCGTAGGTTATGATCCATCTATATTTACCCTACGAACCTCGGAGATGGGCTTCTGAGGGCTGAAGAGACTCGGGTGTGGGATTGCGAGGTCTTCTTGGTTCGAAGCAGCTTAGGGAGGCATTCGTGCCTGCGCAGTTCGATGAGCTCTGCCGAGTTGCAGACTGCCCCGCCTCTGGTAGAAGCTGCCGGCCCAGGGAATGTCTGAGGTGTGCAATGTAGCACACCTGCTCCCCAGACACCGGGAGCCCTAGTCAGGCAACAGCACTCCTCGGGGGGGGGGGGGGGTTTTCGAAACTTTGGGACCCATTCTTTTCCCAGGCCGGAGAAACCTCCCCAGTTGAAGATGCTGCGGAGCTACACGGATGAGGAGTGAGGGGTCAGGGCAAAGGGTTTAGGGTTTAGGGTTTAGGGTTTAGGGTGTGGGGAGTTTAGGGTTTAGGGTTCCCGAGGTGCCTTCGAAGCGGTATTAGGCTCGCTCTGGAGTGCGACCGCAGACCCAGTGAGTGCTCATGTCTAGCACTCGATAGAAGACGGCAGCTCTCAGGTACACACAAAGGAAGTGTTTGTACATGTATGTAGGCGTATATGCACATATGCACTATATCTGTATTTGCACACACTATATTTCTCTATCTATATAAATAAATAAAAATATATATATATATATATACATATGATTATATGTGCACACCTCACGTAAACTCAGACAAAGCTACGTCTACACCATTTTTCAGAAAATCTTTGGGGCATCAGCTGATGCCCCGCACTGACCGCGAGGACCTGGCTCAGAAGGACCTGTCCCGTCGCAGTGAGGCCATGCAGGGACTCGCGGACAAGGCGATGGGAGGTTGGTCTGTTGCTTTTTTGAGACCGGGGTGGGGGAGGGGTGGGCGGTAGGCCTTTTCTTTCTTGTTTTTGTTCGGACATTTTTTCTGGATGTCTTGGGATCGAATGCTTCTTTGCAGCCAAGCTCGGAGCCGCCGTTTAAGGTGTAGGGTTTAGGGTTTAGGGTTTAGGGTTGAGGGTTTAGGGTTTAGGGTTTAGGGTTTAGGACTTGTTGTGACTTCTGGAATCAAGCGCTTACTTGTGGAAAGGCCTCCCGGGCATGACCAAGGCATGACTTAGTCAGGTCCCCTGTCGTGATTTCGGGAGATATGTCCCTAAACCCTAAACCCTAAACCCTAAACCCTAAACCCTAAACCCTAAACCCTAAACCCTAAACCCTAAACCCTAAACCCTAAACCATGTAGGAGATCTAAAGGCACCTCAGGTCTGCTTTTTGGACCTTAGAGACGCGAAGCCCTGAACCCTCGCAGAGATGACCAGGTCTCCATGGGTTTCCAGCGCATGCAGAAGTCCACCGACACAGGGCTTCATTGGCTTCAGTTTAGGGTTTAGGGTTTAGGGTTTAGGGTTCAGGGTTTAGGGTTTAGGGTTGCTCTAAACTTGGACCTTGTGTGGCTATCAGACTACAGCTGGGGGTTTTAAATTGGGCTATCAGAGTTATTGTTGGTTATGCCCTAAACCCGAACCCCGAAGCCCGAAACCCGAAACCCTAAGCCCTAAACCCTAAACCCTAGCGTCCGAAAGGGTTCTTTTGTTGCAGGAGCTCTGAAAGACCGAAAGCTTTGCCCAATGCTTCAACAGATGTCCACAGTTTAGCCCGAAACGAAGATTGTGACCCAACGAGCCCTACTTGGAGGTTCATGGGTACTTATAAGTAGGGTTATAGTGACCCTAAATAAGGTCATAACCATAGTTACTTTGCTTGTAACCCTTCTTATAAGTACCAAGCTTCCCACCAAGCCCAGTACCCCTTTAAGCTTAAGAGATAAGTACCTTGGTCCGCAATTGTGGATTCCTGTAGTAGAGGTTCAAGGATTGTACCTTGATTTTGAGGGATCGTGTGCTTCCTTGCTTAAGCAGTTCACCGCCGAATTATGAGGACTCGTGCATCAAGAGGATCGCGCAGCACCAGGCCTTTGAATTCTTCTTCGCGCTGGTCGTGGCTGCGTGTCTGGAGAGGGTCTTCGTGCTTTCTCTCTATGGCGTGGTCCTTTTGGGCTTCCTCTTGCTATTCCGAGCCTTCTGTTGTGTACCTAAAAGGGACATTAAGCTGGAAAAAGCCCATGTGCTGGGCTTCGGGAGAGGGTTGGAAGGTTAGGTTTTGAGCTTATAGGATTTAGGGTCAGGTTTTGAGTTTTTGGGGAATTTCGGGCAACTCTGACGCCGCTAATCGCGAAACTTGTAAGCTCGTGGCGATTGCCACGGCGTGCTGTCAGGCGTGGGGGCCGTGATTCTTCTGAAGCACCCCTAAACCCTAAATCCTAAACCCTAAAGCCTAAACCCTAAACCCTAAACCCGAAACCCGAAACCCTAAACCCTAAACCCTAAGATGAGCAACGCCGTCTTCATCGGAATCGACGTGCAGCATGGGATCTCCGAGCCACTGGGGCCCAGGCCCGTGGCCTATAGGGTGGTCCAGTACACCTACACGGCCCTGCTTCTTGGGCTTACAGTCAGTTTAGGGCTGATAGGGTTTAGGGTTTAGGGTTTAGGGTTGAGGGTTGAGGGTTTAGGGTTTAGGGTTGAGGGTTGAGGGTTTAGGGCTTAGACTCCCGACAGGGCAGAAACCTAAGCAATGAGAGGCCCGGGTACTGAGCCCCCCTGCTTTGCCAAGTGACTCTGAAACCAAGGTTCGTCTTGGAGCTGGCCATCCGCCTGGGCGCCCAAAAATGGCAGTATTGCAGCTCTGAAGATTGGATGTGGAAGTGCTTGGACATGTCTCCTTGATTGACTTTTGGGAGTTTTTTGGCGCATGCATGTGTGTAAGTGTGTTCAACAAGAAGACCTAGACTCCTCAATCCTGACTCCCGCCTAAACCCTAAACCCTAAACCCTAAACCCTAAACCCTAAACCCTAAACCCTAAACCCTAAACCCTAAACCCTAAACCCTAAACCCTAAACCCTAAACCCTAAACCCTGAACCCTCAACCCTCAACCCTCAACCCTCAAATCCTCAACCCTCAACCCTCAACCCTCAACCCTCAACCCCAAACCCTAAACCCTGGAATGCACCAGCAAAGGTTCGTGGTGATCACCTCCTTGTGGGAGGTCACTGTTGACATCCTGCAAGCGGCCTACGAAGGGCCCCGTGACTGGAAAATGGGCATCCCCAAGCGCCACCTCTAAGCCCCACCTAAACTCCTAAACCCACAAGCCGTAAACCCGTAAACCTGCAAGCCCAAAAAGACCTAAGCCCTAAACCCGACTGTAAACCCATAAGCCCCAAAACCCCTAAACCTTACGATTCAAACCCTTAAACGCTAGGGACCGTTGCTGAGCCTTGGCATTGGGATGCTCCCCCCTTATACCTCTATTAGTCCTTAATCGAGAAGTAGTACCTAAACCCTAAACCCTAAACCCTAAACCCTAAACCCTAAACCCTAAACCCTAAACACTAAACCCTAAACCCTAAACCCTAAACCCTAAACCCTAAACCCTAAACCCTAAACCCTCAACCCTCAACCCTAAACCCTAAACTTGTATAAGGGGGAACATCTCAAGCTGAGGCAGCAGAACGTCGACTCCATTCAAGGCCTAAGCAACCTCAAGTCCTTGCGAGCCTCGGGGAAGAAGAAGTTGAGGGTTTAGGGTTTAGGGTCTGAGGGGTTCAGGGTTTAGGGGTTTAGGGTTTGAGGGTTTTAGGTTTTTGGGGTTTAGGGTTTGAGGGTTTCACGGTTTTCGGGGTTTCTGTAACCATAAAGTTTCTTCATCTACGTCGAACAAAGTCGTTCAGAGTCTTGGGGAAGAAGTTGGGTTTTATGGTTGAGCGCTTTTGGGGTTTAGGGGTTTAGGGCTCTAGGGTTTTGGGGTTTTGGGGCTAGGGTTTTAGGGCACTTAGGTTTTTAGGGGTTTTAGGGGATTAGGGTGTAGGGATGCGATCCAGGCGGGAGATTCTTGTTCCACTTCTGACCCGGGAACTCGGGAATTCGGCATGTAACATCCCTTTTGCTAGCAACAAGGAACAACTATGGGCCATGTTTGAAACACATCGGTACCATGGACCCCTGATCCCTAAACCCTAAACCCCAAAGCCTAAACCCTAAACCCCAAATCCTAAACCCTAAACCCTAAACCCTAAACCCTAAACCCTAAACCCTAAACCCTAAACCCGCTCAGGAATCATTCGCCTGACGCGTCTCGTGAGAACTGTGCAGTTTGTGCGCGTCTTCCGCTTCGTGCTGGCCTTGCGCATGCTGGTGGACTCCATCCTTTCGACCCTCAAGTCCTTGTCGCATGGCCATATGGTTTAGGGTTTGGGGTTTAGGGTTTAGGGTTTAGGGTTTAGGGTTTAGGGACATCGTATGGCGATGGTTCCCTCAACCGTTTTTTCAGGGCTTAAGGGGGTTGAGGGGTTTAGGGGTTTCTAGGGGTGCCCTAAACCCTAAACCCTCAACCCTAAACCCTAAACCGTAAGCTGGGCACTTGGAACCCGGTTCAAAGCCTTAAGGGCCCGAGGTAGGGTTTAGGGTTTAGGGTTTAGGGTTTAGGGTTTAGGGTTTAGGGTTTAGGGTTTAGGGTTTAGGGTTTAGGGTTTAGGGTTTAGGGTTTGGAGTTTAGGAGTTCGGGTATAGGGTTTTTGGTTTGTTCCCTACTTCTCAGGGCAGTTCCATGGTCCCTTGATGTGGTCCCTTACATCCCTCAAAGGGTTCTGAAGTCTGCGGGGCCCTTGGGTTTTAGGGTTTAGGGTTTAGGGTTTTTATAGAGTATATTGTGGATATAAGGGGTCCATATAAAAGGGCCCATACTAAGGGACCGTGTGGGTGCCCTCTAAACCCTCTTGGCCCCCCAAGCGCTCCCCCCAAAAAAATCCACGAAGACGAATCCCGAAAACCCTAAACCCTAAACCCTAAAGCCGAAACCCTAAACCCTAAACCCTAAAATAAGCATTAGGGTTCAGGGTTTGGGGTTTAGGGTGTAGGGGCCAGGTTCTGGGCGCTGATCCTCCTCTCGCTGGTGGTCTACGCCCGGTCTTCAGTGTGCTTTAACTTCGGGCCGAAGGGTTTAGGGTTCAGGGTTTCGGGTTTAGGGTTTAGAGTTTAGGGTTGAGGGTTTAGGGTTTAGGGGTTGAGTTGAATGGATTCGAGGGTTTCAGTTGTCGGTTGTCCCTAACCTATACCTTAAAGTCCAGTGCTAGCGAGTGGGGCAAGTGGAGGGGGAGGGAAAGTGTGGCACGCGGCCTGAAATACTTGGCAGAGACCACATTCTTGACACGCTCCGTTTTTTCAGCCCAGGACAGGTGCGAAACAACAGCAAGGGGAATAGTTCTCTTCCTGATGCCTCCACCCTATCATGATGGGACACCAGACGTGAAACCCTAAACCCCTCAACTCTAAACCCCAAACCCCCAAAACCCCAAAAAACCCAAGCCCTAAACCCTAAACCCTAAACCCCAAACCCTAAACCCTGAGCCCCAAGAAGCCAAAAAGATGCACTCTCCTCCCTGCATGTCACTCTGCAAAGCCTGCGCAGTGCTTAGGGTTGAGGGTCTTTGAAGAAGGTGTCGGGACACGGTTTGGGTTTTAGGGTTTAGGGTCCCCGTAAACATTAGGGTTTAGGGTTTAGGGTTTGAGGTTGAGGGTTTAGGGTTTTAGAACAACGACTCTGCCAGGTCTTTGCAGTGCTGTTCGCCACCGCGGTGAACGACTACATCCACGAGAACCCGACATCCTTGAGTGAGAAGGATCCTAAACCCTAAACCCTAAACCCTAAACCCTAAACCCTAAACCCTAAACCCTAAACCCTAAAGCCCAAAACTTACACCCGAAAGCCCAAGCCCTCAACCGCCAACCCGACACCCCAGAAGAAGCACGCCTGCCCGCACCAAAGGTCGCAGTCTTGAGTTGGCTCTACAGTTCCTTGGGACCCTCCTCCCTAAACCTCCAAACCCTGTTGACCCAGAACCTGGCACTTTTCGAAATCATATAGAATTTTATAGTAATATAGAGTCTCATCTAGTATAAAGTAAACCCAAAGACGAAGAGTGGCCCACTCACAGCTCGCGCAAGGATTTTGACGCCTCTCGAATCTTCTGGTCTTCCTTACCGGAAGCCGGGCGTAATATTCAGGCGGTTGCGGGTAAAACCCTAAACCCTAAACCCTAAACCCTAAACCCTGAACCCTGAACCCTGAACCCTGAACCCTGAACCCTGAACCCTGAACCCTGAACCCCAAACCCCAAACGGACTTAAGGCTTCTGGGAGCTTTCAGGCATCCCGGGTGCTTTGGGTGGTCTGAGGTTCTTCGTCGTTGTTGTTGGTGTGTTCAGGGCTTTCTGGCTGTTTTTGTCAATCTCGGATCTTGGATCTGGAGTTCCTTGGCCCTCAGAATCTTAGATCATGGTTTTCGTTTTTTTTTTTTTTTGGGGGGGGCGGGTGGGGTGGGGTTGGGGGGTGGGGGGTGGGGGGGGGTGGGGGGTTGGGGTGGGGGTGGGGACGTGGGGTGGATAACCTGTGGGATGCATGCCTGTCTGATCTTGCTTCGAAATTCGAAAGCAGGTAGTAGAATGGGCCCCTAGATACAACAAACAACTAGCCCCTCATTACGTTAGGTCGAATGAAATGTGAACCGCCAATAGTTTCATAACAGGTGCTTCGCATATTTGGCCCAGACATGTATACTCGTTGACTAAGCTAATTTAGGTAAACGGTTGAAGCTAATAAAAGGAAGAAATTGCGAAGTGGTCAGATGGAGGACTGTACATGTCTCACTATTGCAAGGTGCAGTTGGCGAGCCTAGTGTCGAAGCTCCCCTAGACTCCAATCCCTAGACCCTAAGGTTTAGGGTTTCGGGTTTAGGGTTTAGGGTTTAGGGTTTAGGGCCCTGAAGACAAAACCGCGAAAAAGCAGACCACACACAGTGTAAGGCCACTTCAAGACCTTAAGCCCCTAAACCCTAATCGCCATATAATCCCAGGGGGAAATACCTCTGAGCCCAGGAGAGCATGCTCACGCTGTTCATGAGCAGCTCGGCTGCTGCGGTCTCTGCAGGCTCTTAGGGAGCCGAAGTTTTTTGCGGGGATAAGGGGCCAACCTGAACTCTCTAATCCGAAACCCCATGAACCCCGAAACCTTAAACGCCCCTAAGCGCTAAACCCTAAACCCTAAAACCGCATCCCACACCCCATTGCATCTTTTTTTTTCGGGGGCTAGCGGGTTTGGGGGTGTTGGGTTTTTGCTTGGGGCTGTGTAGGGTTTTCCGGTTGTAGGGTTGCAGGGCACAGGGCTTTGTGCTTCTAGGATGTTGTACTAGAAGCCCCAAACCCTAAACCCAAGACCCTAAACCCTAAACCCTAAACCCTAAACCCAAGACCCCCCTCAACCCTCCAAGCTTCGACCTCCGCGAGCTCAGGTATTTCAGGCGGCGTGAGCTGGGTGGAGGTTCTCAGACCTTTGCAAGCGACGCTGGGCAGGGACCCGAAAACCCTAAACCCTAAACCCTAAACCCTAAACCCAAAACCCTCAACCCTAAACCCTAAATCCTAAACCCTAACCCCTAAAGTCAACCCTAGGGTTACGAAAGCCCCCAAAAGCCCGTAAAGGCCCCATGAGCCCCTGAAGTCCCTACGCGTCTCTTTTTGCCCTAAAGTCACAAGCCCTAAATTAAATGTACCTCCCTGCAACATCGACAGCTTCGGATGTAGGGTTTGGGGTTTAGGGCTTCTCCCTTCAGCCCTAAACTCAAACCCTAAACCCAAAAGCCTAAACACGACCTATACACCTGCAAGAGCGAACAACCGGAAGGTTCTTCCTCCCCTCAACCATAAGCCGAAGCTCAGGATTTCCGTCTTTTGGTCCTACTGCTTCCTGCTGCTCGGATGTAAGGGTTTTGGGGTAACATTCGGGATTCCATAAGTTGGCGGGTAGGGTCGTTAGCGCAAATCGGGGGCGTAACCTGAAATACTTTGAGCTGTTGCAGATTCTCTCCATCCTTCTGGGGGCGAGTAGGGTTTAGGGTTTAGGGTTTAGGGGTTAGGGTTTAGGGTTTAGGGTTTAGGGTTTAGGGTTTAGGGTTTAGGGTGCTTCGTTACCGCGCTTGTTGGTGGAAGCGTGTGATGCGGAGCTTAGGGAGCAGAGCAGTGAGCCTTCGTATGACAGTGCAGATTCGCCGTCTGGACGCGAACATGTAGGGGCTTATCCACATGATGGGGGGCCCCTTGAGAATAAGTATGCTTTCATGCAGACCTTTCAGGGAAGATATGGCACAACCCATAAACCCTACTTTCTTGGCCCCATGAGGAATATAGCTCTAAGTCGTTGCAATTTCGCAAACAGCCGGCTACAGTCAAAATTCTGGGCTGGTTGTTGGAGGCGTTGTGGATAGGAGGGCAGCGCGGTGAGATCTTCGAAGCCTTGGCGCTCCACTCGTAGCTGCTTGCAACGTTGGGGTGTTTGCTTTGCTTGCGTCTTGGGTCTACCCCGTGGACGTCTCCATCGTGCTCCTCTCTACTCGGAAACAACAGCTGCGTTGGTGTTTGACGTTTGCAGTCAGGATGTGCCTGTGAAGATCCCGAAAAACGATGCTGCAAGGTGATCCTTGGAACTTAGCCGGCTTGGTCGTCACACCGAAAGCCCCCACGCAACATCACGAGGTCGGTCTCGGTTGCATGCAGCGTGCAACTGGCTGTCCCCTACGCCTTGTGCTGTCAGCGCTGCACTTGCTGAATGTGATGCCTGGTGTATGCCGGTTAGGCCCCGACCTTTTTGGAGCCCAACCAGGGGTCTGTTCACCTAGCGCTAGATGCAGTCCTCACGTGGGTGATAGAACTTTCGCCTGTCGCATTGCTGTTGCCTGTTGAGTGGTCAGCAAAAGCCAGTCCTTTCGCCACACTGCAGCTGGTCGCCGTGAGCTGGTGCTGGCGGTCCTGGTGACCGTGTGTTTGCTCATTTCAAGTTCTTTGGGGTCGAGCTCTTTCGTGCTGTTCAAAGGGCTTTGACTGGTGACCAGTCTGCCAGGCGCCTCACAAAGGCTGTGGGGCTTCGCGGATGCTCAGCGAACTGTGGAGCAGCTGCAAAATGCGCTTTGCAAGTGCGCGGCTTCAGATCATGCGTCGTCACTTGTCTTCTTTTGAGTTTGCTTGCTTCAGAAGAACCGATGCCTCGCTTGCGGACATTGTCAAGCTTCTGTCTTCCTCGCTAGGCTGCAGGTAATGCTCTCTTCTACTAGACCTGGACCCTGTAAGGCGTAAGATCCTGAACCTGGTCTTTCCCAGCCCCGCTTGTGCTGGCGTAGGCGCCAATCTGACACATGTCACTTGGACATGCCGTAAAGTTCCCGACGCGCCAAAGTGTTTCTTGCAGATGAAGGCTACTGCGTTGCAGAACCGAAGATGGTCCCGCGTTTGACAAGCCGCCAACTGTCATGACTCTATCGCCCGCAGCGGCGGGTTGCGTTGCATGACTGTGCCTCCTGTGGCTTGCGTCCGCCCCCGAACGCAAGGCCTGCAGTTCATTGATGCATGCAGGCCGACCTTATCCTGCCTTGGAGCTGGCCCCTTCCTCCCTTGATGTGAATGGGTGCATCAAAGCTTTCGTCTCCCGTTAGTCGCTGACACCAAGAATTGCCACTTGTCACCCGCGATAGAAAGGACGACGCTTGGTAACGCTGTACGAAACTTAGCCTGCTTGTTGAAGAGGGCCTTTGCGCATTCCGGTGTAGGTTCGCGTAGGATGTTGTTGGTTGTGGACTTTTAGTTCTATGGTGTCTTGCTGAGTGGAGCAACCCAAGCCCCAATCCCCACAGACCCCATACCCCACTGGCTGTAAACGAAGCCTACAACAGTACAAAGGTAGTAAACCCTGAGCCCTACCACAATCCCGCAGAACCTTTGTGGTGCTTTACTGTAACTTTAGATCTTTAGCTTTTTTGGGTTTATTGGGTTTCTTAAGAAGGCAGCTAAAAGTTTCCGCCAAGAACCTTGCAGTGAGCTGAAAGTGTTTTTGTTGTTTTTCTGTGGCGGGCTGCCCTTTGTTTTTTTATCAGTCATGCAAAATAGGATCTGGGCTTCCAGGTGTGGAGGACGAAGCCCAATCTTTCAATAGAAGAACTAGAAGAACTAAGAACCCTCTTGCTGGATTTCTTGACTCTTGCCTTCGGTACCTCAAACCCTAGACCCTAAACCCTAAACCCTAAACCCTAAGCCCTAAGCCCTAAGCCCTAAGCCCTAAACCCCAAGCGATATTGCTGGCTGCAAAAGCCTACCGTTGGCAGAAATAGGATAGACTAGAAAAGCTGTCTTATCTGGTCATTCGAGAGACAAGATTCTTGTCAGTGAAGCGTCTAAGAAGTTTCACCGAAACCCGTAACCTTATGAACCTCTAACCCCGATAAGCCCTAAACCCTAAACCCTAAACCCTAAACCCTAAACCCTAAACCCTGAGAGCATGGTGAGCTGTGTGTGAGGTTCTTCATCTCGTTCACGTATTTCGCAGTTTTAAATGCCTCACGGTCGCACTCAGCAAGCAGTTTGTTTGGTTTAGGGTTTAGGGTTTAGGGTTTAGGGTTTAGGGTTTAGGGTTTAGGGTTTTGGGTTTAGGGTTAGGGTTTAGGGTTTAGGGTTTAGGGTTTAGGGTTAGGGTTTAGGGTTTAGGGTTTAGGGTTTAGGGTTTAGGGTTTAGGGTTTAGGGTTTAGGGTTTAGGGTTTAGGGTTTAGGGTTTAGGGTTTATTTAGGGTTTAGGGTTTAGGGTTTAGGGTTTAGGGTTTAGGGTTTAGGGTTTAGGGTTTACGGTTTAGGGTTTACGGTTTAGGGTTTAGGGTTTAGGGTATAGGTGCGTTTTGTTTGGTGTGGCATTCGTAGGACAAGCGCTTGGCTGCGTTTTTCGGTTGGTGCAGGTGCTTGTTTCAAAGCAAGCATGGAAGATGAGCTACGAGCCCACAATCCCAACAGGGTTGTTCAAATGGGGATTGTTATCATCAGTTAGCCTTTAGTGGTGGCGCGGCTGCCGGCACCCGAACAAAGTTACTTACTTTGCAGGTTTAGGCTGGTGGCTGCCCCCGCCCATGCAGCCGCATGTGGTTGAGTGGGTGCCATCGTCAAAATTTTCTTTCTGTTTGCAGGTTTTGACCGCGGTCTTCTGTCAAACTGCTATAGAGAGTGCACAGAATGACCAGACGACCATGGTGCAAACCATGCTTGACAACAAGCATGCTATCTTGGAGAAGCTGAAGTCGCTGTTTTATGAGATTGATGCAGACGACGTGGCAAACGGCCATGTTGGATCGCTGACAATGGGAGTCTTCGAAGAGAAGATGAAGAACCCTGAAGTGCACGACTTCTTCGAATCCCTGGGGCTGGATGTTTGGGATGCGAGCCTCGGTTGCATGTCACGCACTCTTGTTGCAACAGATGCTGCAGGAAATCAGGAGGTTAGACCTTGCTGCGTCCAACAACAAGTTGGTGAAGTAGCGTCAGCCCCGCCATGATTGCCAGCTCTTTGAGAGAGTTTCACGGAGCATCTGGGGATGTTCCACCTTGTACTAGCAGTCCTTAATCGGGATGATAATCGGGGGTATTGTAATGCGTATTAAGGACTGGTAAGTAACCTGGTAGTATAAGGGGGAAGCATCCCAAGTCAAATGCAATCCCTGCATTGCACTAAAGTGTTCCAAGCCGCGGGAGAGCCCACATGAGGTGGTCGTTTTTCAAGCTCCTCGACACAGACGGAGGCCGCTGGCCGATTGGTTTAGGGTTTAGGGTTCAGGGTTTAGGGTTTAGGGTTTAGGGTTTAGGGTTTAGGGTGGTCAGGATCAGAGAACGCAATGCGCCGGTAGCAATGAATCTTCCGCACGTGTCAACCTTGGAGTCGGTGTTATGGTTTTTACAGGCGCTTGCCGAACTGGAGGGCCCATGTTGTGAAGGGCCCTTGAAGCTACACTGAGACGTTGAGATCCCGAATCTTGGGCTTATTGGATACAAGCATGTTGAGCATGGGGCATTGAGCATCGTCGGGACGAATTTGCAAAGCTTGTTGACATATGATCAATGTTGGCCGAGCGACTGGAGGACGCTGCTCGAAATTGAGGTCGCTCTCTTGTGGGGATGTTCCTGCTTGCCGCTGCGAACACATCTTCAATTCCAGCGCTGACTTCGGCATAAGATTTCCCTACTATACCCAATACCCTCAACTCTACTACTATTTGCTTAAGAACCCCCAAAAAATAGAAAACAAATAATCCCCATATTGCCCTTACAAGTAAGAGCATTTGTTTTTTCATTTCTTGAGGGTTCTTAAGCAACTAGTAGTCTAAGCCCAAAATCGCAGCCCCTGAGCTGATCTTGTAGAGGAGTTCTACGCTTCGTTAACAGAAACATGCCTCAGCCGATAGAGTATCACGCGGCATGCGGTCCGGTTGGAGGTTCATGATACTTATTTTAACCAGATATAACTGTACTTATAACTGCACTGATATATAACCATATTAGGGCACTTAAGGGGCTTATAAGTGGGTTTTTTCGTACAGTTACAATTGGTTAATAAGTACCATGAACCTCCAAGTACCCTTAGGCCACGTGTCATAGTCGAAAGATTGTTGACCTAAGCGCGAAACCCTAAGCCCTAGGCCCTAAACCCTACATGCGTGCATGCCTGCTGGCTAAACTCCAAACCCCAAACCCAAAACCCAAACCCACCCACCACCAGCCCACACCGTGAATCCGAGAGCTCTTAACACGTTGTGGGTTACCCCCGAGCTGCCAGGCGGAGCAGTGGACACTGAAGAGTTTTTCCGAGGTGGCTGGGCTTACAGTTTAGGGTTTAGGTTTTAGGGTTTAGGGGTTTGGGTGTAGAAGCAGCCATGTTGAGGCAGTCGACCACTACGTACGCTGGCGCGAGGGTTCAAGAACTGTTTTTGCGCAGAGGATAGGGGCAGGGACATGTTACGTTTTTCCCTATTGAGTTGAACAGGATGATATTCAGGACTATTTTTCAGAGGGTAAAGGAGCCGACATAGCTTCCGTAAGGCTTTGCAGCGTCAAGGGGGTAGAGGGCGAAGTGCCTTTTTACAAAGCTCCTACCTCCCTTTTCGCCGACACCCCCAAGGTTGCTTTCAAAAAACTCTATGCTCGAAGCCACATGTTTGTTGAGAACCACCCTAAACCCTAAACCCTAAACCCAAAACACTCAACCCTAAACCCTAAACCCTAAACCCTAAACCCTAAACCCTAAACCCTAAACCCTAAACCCTAAACCCTAAACCCTAAACCCTAAACCCTCAACCCTAAACCCTAAACCCTTCACGACCGATTAGATTCTGCACGTTTTTTTAACGATGTCGGTCAATCTGCTCACCGGTTCTTGTCAGCCACCGTTGTCTTCCAGATTTCGGTCAATCGGCACCAGTGTTTTTCAGATTCAGTCAGTCGGCACCAGTTTTTTGCTCAATGGCCACCTGTGTTTCTCAGATTTCGGTCAATTTTTCAGATGTCGGTGAATCGGCCAGGGGCTTAAGGTTCAGGGCGCAGGGTTTAGGGTTCAGGGCTTTGGGTCGAGGGTTGGGGGCCTAGAGTTTAGTGTTCAGGGCCTTGGGTTGATGGGTCTAGAGTTTGGGGTTCAGGGTGCAGGTGAAAACATTGTCTATTCATAATCTTATGGGATTCTCTGGGTGGGTACTTCTCCATCACATGAAAAAAACGCTCGACTAGCGAAAGCTAGTGCATGAGCTGCTGAACCCTAAACCCGAAACCCTAAACCCTAAACCCTAAACCCCAAACCCCAAACCGAGATCCCAGGCTGCCTTCGATTCCGCGGACCAGCCCGGTCGATGGAGGTCGGGAAGCTCATCCAGGATCAGAAGTGGATGATCCACAACCAAGGCGGAGGGTTTAGGGTTTAGGGTTTGCGGTTAGAGTTTATGGTTTGGGGTGGGGCCCAAAGAGCACGGGTAGTTTGTGTAGATTATGTTTGAATGAGGCCCCCCCATTTTGGTTCGGACCTTCTTCTGTTTGCGCTTTGGACCTGTTTTTGGCGTCTTGGGTGTCCTCTTTCTATGAATGTGCAAAGGAAGTAGGGGTGTTCTAAGAAAAGTCAGAGGAAGAGAGGACATAGATGTTCTCGTATGAAAATAGAGAGGAAATGGAGGTTTCCGGCTGTCGCTGACCTTTGTGTGCTTGACATAGCTTCCATGCATAGTCGACACTACCCGGCTGTACAGGCTTAACGCAGCATTGCTTTTTCAGACCCGTGGAGACTATAAACAACACATAGACAATTTTCATGGAAGCTTTCCAAGGAAGAATGTAGAGGTAGCAGCGGCTTCCTGTTCAAAGTATGGAAGACATGAAGGTTTTCCTCGGAACGCATGGCTTCAGAAAGGTTTCCCAGCTTCTTTTTCATTTACATCTTGAAGGGTTTAGGGTTTAGGTTTAGGGTTTAGGGTTTAGGGTTTAGGGTTTAGGGTGATATCTTGAGAGGATCGCCGTGATGCTCTCTGTATGCTTGTCGAACACTCGAGTTCCTTGTAATCGGCAAGCCGCTACTGCCTGCGTGGTACAATCGGGCGCCCGTGTCTTGTGTGTATATATATATATACACATACAGCATATATATATATATATATATATATCTGTATGTATACATATGTATGTATATATATATATATATTTCTTTTTTTGCCGTGGTTTAGGCTTTAGGGAGCTCCAGGGTCTCTTTGTCACCCAACACACTGAGATCTCATCCCTCGGTTCGTGGGGCTTAAGCGGACGGAAGCCCCCAAGCTCCCTGCTGACCCTAAACCCTAAACCCTAAACCCTAAACCCTAAACCCTAAACCCTAAACCCTAAACCCTAAACCCTAAACCCTAAAATCCTAAACCCTAAACCCTAAACCCTAAACCCCTAAACCCCTAAACCCCAAACCCCAAACCCTAAACCCTAAACCCTAAACCCTAAACCCTAAACCCTAAACCCTAAACCCTAAACCCTAAACCCTAAACCCTAAACCCTAAACCCTAAACCCTAAATCCGACAAAGTCCTAAGACCCAAACACCAACAAATAACCGAACCTCCAGGATGCTTCAGAGAGCTGAGAGCCGATGGTTTCACCTCCGGCGTTCGGTTTTGGGGGGGCATCGGGTTTCGGGTTCTGGGGTTTAGGGTTTAGGGTTTAGGGTTTAGGGTTTAGGGTCCTCAACACCTAGGCAGTGTACTAGCACACAGCAGAGCTGCATCTTTAACTGTGGACAGGCAAGTTTCAAGAATACGTCCAAGACGAGCTCGCCGTTGTCAAGGCAGCGCTTGGGGGAGCCGCCCGACCCCTTCTCCAACGGTTAGTTTCTTGGTTAGGGTCTAGTGTTTAGGGTTGAGGCTGTTTTGGATTTAGGGTTGAGGGTTTAGGGTTTAAGGTTTAGGGCGAAACTCGATAAGCCCTCCCACAGCACTGGAGCCCGAAGTCTTGTTGACTGCTCGGCGCTCAGATGAGGCCCTCCTTTAATGAAGAGGAGAGTAGGGACATTTCCTAGGTAGGATAAGGCCGGCCCTTAAACTGGAACCCTTCTGAGAGTAGGGACATTTCCTAGGCCGGCCCTTACACTGGAACCCTTCTGAACCCACTTCTGGCTCTCTTAAGCCGGGAACGTTATTCAGAGGGTCTTTATTCCCAAGGGCCCCCTAATCCTGTCCCCGAACATTTTTGGTTGCCTACGTTACTCCTACTTTCGCCTGGGGCTCATTGGCCGGAGGAGTGCAGGGCCCCTATAGAACTGAAAGTGTACACTTTTTTTGGGGCTTACGAACTCGCAACGAAGGGGGTTTAGGGCCTTGGGTGTAGGATCTCTGCCAGGACAAGCTGCTGCTGATCGGCGATCTCCTGTCTGCCGCAGGCGATGAGGAGCCTCTTTGCCAGGAGTCCGGGTCTTGACCCCTTTCCTCTGTCGAGGGGCCTGGAGCAAACCCTAAACCCTAAACCCTAAGCCCTAAACCCTAAACCCCAAACCCCAAACCCCAAACCCCAAACCCTAAACCCTAAACCCTAAACCCTAAACCCCGCAAGCTACAAGAAGCTTCTGAAGAATGGCCGAGGCTTCTGGGGCTTGACCTAAAGCTGAACGAAAGCTCCGTTAATAGTTGAGCCCCACAAGCTAACCCTCAACCCCAAATAACCCGAATAACCCTAAGAACCCTAATAACCCTAATAACCCTAATTATAATCACCCCAATAACCCCAATAACCCGAGCAACCCTAAACCCTAAACCCAAAACCCTACACCCTAAACCCTAAACCCTAAACCCTAAGCCCTAAACCCTAAACCCTAAGCCCTAAATCCTAAACCCTAAACCCTAAACCCCAGACCCCAAACCCTATCCAGCGGCTCCTTGACATGGGAATCCAGTGCTCCGCAGAACGCGTGGAAGGAACCCCTAAGGGGTTCCCGGCTGTACCATACCTTCCACCCTAAACCCGAAACCCTAAACCCTAAACCCTAAACCCTAAACCCGAAACCCCCAAACCCAAACCCCACTAAACCCTAAACTCCCTTCACCTCCCTCTTGGGAAGGCCCAAAAAGGGCCTGAGAGACCTCCGAACAGGGAGCGCGCGCCAGGGAGAAACGTGGGACACACAGCGCCTGGGAGGTAAGCCAAGCATTTAGACTGAACCCCAGGTTTAGGGTTTAGGGTTTAGGGTTTAGGGTTTAGGGTTTAGGGTTTAGGGTTTAGGGTTTAGGGTTTAGGGTTTAGGGTTTAGGGTGTAGGGTTTAGTGCTTTAGGGCTTTGGGGTCTTAGGGTTTTAGGGTTTTAGGGTTAGAGGGTCTTAGGGTCTTAGGGTCTTAGGGTCTTAGGGTCTTAGGGTCTTAGGGTCTTAGGGTCTTAGGGTTCAGGGTTTTAGGGTTTTGGGTTTCGGGTTTCGGGCTAAGTGTTTTAGGGTTTTAGGGTTTAAGGCTTTTGGGTTTTAGGAAATTGGGGTTAGCCACTTTGGCTCAGCCGCTTCCCAGTAACACTTTCGCCGCGTTAGCCACGCTGCCCAGTCCACGAGCTGATCCATCTCTTCGAGGGCATTGCTTCTGCTCATCGACTCGGCCCGGGGAAATCGTGGAAGGTGCCTCCTCCACCTCCTACGTCCGCAGGAGAGGTTGCCTTCCGAGGCAAATACGAAGGTCCTCTTGTGGCCATGCCTGGGCGACTTTCGGCTCCCTCTTTGGAGGGCATATCGTGTCCGCTTGCCCCGCATCCAGTCGAACTCTGGGACGGAGGGGGAGATGACGCTTGCGGAGCTTCGCTGGGATGTAGTGAGTGACTCACTCACTCACTCCTTTAGGGTTTAAGGGTTCCGGGTTTTAGGGTTTAGGGTTTGGGGGCTTCGGGTTCAGGGCAGTTGATCCAGCGCTCTATTGAGGGTAGCAGACTATCAATTGGATGAGGTTTAACCCGAAACCCTAAACCCTAAACCCTAAACCCTACACCCTAAACCCGAAACCCCAAACCCTAAGCTCCCAGGTTGGTGGTTCGAGGTTTGCATTGCTCGGGTTTATGCTTTGTATGCTCAAAAAAATACTCTGATTTGGGTTCTCTGGTTGGGCCCATGTGTGACTTGTTGGCTACATTTTTGTCCTAAGCCCGAAGCCCTAAACCCGAAACCCGAGACCCCAAAGCCCGAAACTCTCAGTGCTGGCTCAACCCGAACCCTAAACCCTAAACCCTAAACCCTAAGCCCTAAACCCGAACCTAAACCCTAAACCCTAAACCCTAAACTAAACCCTAAAACCCTAACCCTAAACCCTAAACCCTCCCCTAAACCCTAAACCCAACCCTAAACCCTAAACCCTAAACCTAAACCCTACACCCTAAACCCTAACCCCTACACCCTAACCCTGAACCCTGAACCCTGAACCCTGAACCCTGAACCCTGAACCCTGAACCCTGAACCCTGAACCCTGAACCCTGAACCCTGAACCCTGAACCCTGAACCCTGAACCCTGAACCCTGAACCCTGAACCCTGACCCTGAACCCTGAACCCTGAACCCTGAACCCTGAACCCTGAACCCTGAACCCTGAACCCTGAACCCTGAACCCTGAACCCTGAACCCTGAACCCTGCTCAAGCACGACCGAACCGAATCTGGCGGAGATGTAAAGCCCCTACCCATGTGCAAGGGAGTGAAGCGAGGGGCCCCATGGTTTAGGGGTTGGGGGTTTAGGGTTTAGGAGTTTAGGGTTAGGGATGAGAGTTTTTGGGGCTTCCAAACCCCTTGAACGCTGAAGCCCCGAACCCTGCAACCCAGCCGAAGCACTCATTCATCTGCGCCGATTTTCAGGGGTTTAGCGCTACCTGTCGCCCGAAAGGGATCCAGAGAAATGCGCCGATGCTCTTTGCTGCGCCTGGGTGCGTGTTTCAGTACTGGCATTTGCTTAAGAACCCCCAAACACCATAGAAGAGAATAGTCTTTATATTGCCCTTCTATAAGGAAGAATATGTTTCTTTTGTGGTTGAAAAGCAAATAGTAGATTAGGGTTCAGGGGTGAAGGGTGTTTAATTCGGGGTTAGGACCATTCCTCCTTCTGTCCCATGCTGCCTGCGCTCAACTGCCAAGGTTGCTTCAGCTCAGTGCCCTCGCCTGTGGGGATGAGGTGTGCACGCAAGCAGAGGACGCAAAGCATCAGCTCACCCCAAACCTTAAACCCTAAACCCTAAGCCCGAAACCCGAAACCCTAAACGAGGGATTCGCAGTTTTGATCGCATCCCGTTGCCATGCAAGGCACCGATTTTCGGCGCCTGGGTTGCGTCGTATGCCATGCAAGACAAACGCCCCGTCCCCCCGAAGGGGCCATCAGGGGGAAAAAAGCCTCAAGAAAAACCCTAAAACCCTAAGCCCTAAGCCCTAAGCCCTAAACCCTAAACCCTAAACCCTAAACCCTAAACCCTAAACCCTAAACCCTAAACCCTAAACCCTAAACGGGAGAATGGCAAAGCAACCTTAGGCCCTAAGCTTAAAGCCGCAAGCCCTCAACCCTTCCTTCAGCAGCTTCGGGACTCAACGGATGCCAGTTTAGGGTTTAGGGTTTAGGGTTTAGGGTTTAGGGCTCACGTAGGTTTGAGGCATCCTGTATTTCGGTTTTCGTACACATGACTACCTCCCTCTTTACTACCCCATCTAGGTTCCCCGACAAACCCTATAGTTCACACCCAGAGGACGCGCCGAGCGTTTTCCCATCGCGCGAGTGGACCCACACGGCCTCGGACCTCGAAGCACTCAGCAGCTTTCTGCAGGCGGCTCGCGGGGGGTTTAGGGTTTAGGGTCTACGGTCTAGGGCTTTGGGTGTAGGGTTTAGGGTTTAGGGTATCTGTTGAGGAGTGGTAAGCCCTCACCGCTGAGGTTGGCACACGTCTCGTGGCGCAGCCAGGTTTTGCAATACCCTAAACCCTAAACCCTAACCCCTAACCCCTAAACCCTAAACCCTAAACCCTAAGCCTAAGCCCTAAGCCCTAAACCCTAAGCCCTAAGCCCTAAACCCTAAACCCTAAACCCCAAACTCGCCTCAGCAATGCGCAGGTGGACCTGGAGACAAAGCATCTCCAAGACCCTGTGCAAGCTCGGACCCCTGCGGCCAAGCAGTGCCTGGGACACAAGCATCATGTAGTTTAATAGTAGTACAATAGAGCTTACTAGTAGAAAAATAGAGTTTACGTGCAGAAGAAAGTCTTAACTTTGAAGCCGGTCACGTGCTCCAAACCATCTGAGCTTGTCATGCCAGAGATGCGCATTGTTCTTGGCCTTGGTCTTAGGTACCTCTTGACCAACGCCTTCAGGGACCTTCTCGCGACGAGAGCGCCTGCAGATCCGAGCGAGCTCATTCGAACGCCGGAGAAGGTGGCTTTCCTGCAGTGGTGTTGGTTTGCTTGCGGCTTGTGCGGCTAGCACAAAGAAATGGCTCGCCTGGGACACAGGCACATGGTCTGGTTGTCGATGAGATATGCTTGTGGTTTGCACGTGTGCGCGCAGTCGCTCCTCGTTACCCATGCCAGGTTTCTCCACTTCTCAAGAGGCTCGAGATCGTGAGCGACTGCCTCCCTTCTGACCTTCAGATTCAGGGAGGTTGTGGAAACGCCAGCCTGAGGGAATTCCCACTCACAACCCCACCTGGGAACCCTTAGGGTTTAGGGTTTAGGGTTTAGGGTTTAGGGTTTATTTAGGGCTTCGGGGCACCCAAGGCCTGGTTGGCTTCGTCTACGCCCTCAGCGCCGCCTGCGGGGCAGGGCTCCTCCTCTGCGGCCTTCCCAGCAAGGAGCCCCAGCACCCGAGCATGCGGCGCGGGGGCTCCACAAGGCGGAGGGGGGTTTAGGGTTTAGGGTTTAGGGTTTAGGGTTTAGGGTTTAGGGTGTGGGGTTTAGGGTTTAGGGCTTAGGGTTTAGGGTTTAGGGTTTAGGGTTTAGGGTTTGGGGTTTGGGGTTTAGGGTTTGGAGTAATCCGTGTGGTCCCACCTTCCTTGCTGGGTACCCCAAATATTCGGGGCCACCTTGTACATCGTAACCTCGAGAGGGACCATAACTTCGAGAAGTGACCATACAAACTCTGATGAACCTCCTATGTACAGACATGTAAGCGATGTTCTTAACACGCTATTTTCTAATCTGATATGGTACATGCAGGCTCAGTCTCATGGTCCATAAGCAAATGGGGATTTCCCGAAATCGGGGTATGATGGGACCCGGACCCCAAAAAAGGGTACCCCATTTTCGGACCCTAAACCATAAGCCATAGACCCGACACCCCAAACTAAACCCCAAACCCGAAACCCTGAACCCTAAACCCTAAACCCTAAACCCTAAACCCTAAACCCTAAACCCTAAACCCTAAACCCAAATCTTGCCGGCCAGCCTGGTGGTCTACCTGGGGCTCGTGTATGCTTTCTGCTACTTTGCCACGGACCAGTACGTGCCCAGCCTTCCCCAGATGGAGGCCCATCTCTGTGGGGTTTAGGGTTTAGGGTTCAGGGTTTAGGGTTTGGGGTTTGGGGTTTAGGGTTTAGGGTTTAGGGTCTGGGGTTTAGGGTTTAGGGGTTCGGGGATAAGGGGCCCCTATAATAGACCCCCCAAATAGTAGGATTCCCTTGTAATACGGACCCCAATAAGGTACCCCTAATTTCGCAAAGCCCCCTATGTCTCTTTTGTCGGGATAGGCTTTCGGCCCAACTATTGTGGCCACTGGCGGGGGGGTTTGGGGCATATGGGGGCTAACAGCTCCTATAGAGTTTGGAGGGTTTAGAGGGTTAATGGGCCCTTTTGAGATTTTAGTTTAAGGGTGGTTTCATGGTCCCTTCATATGGCCCCTTACCCTCTTTAAAGGGTTCTGAAGAAAATTGGCTTGGGGTTTAGACGGTATATGAAGGGGTACACAAGCGCCCCAAGATATAGGTCTTAGGTTACAGGGTTCTTAAGGGAGGAGGGTTCATGGGGCGTAGGTACCTAGGGAATCTTCGGGAACCTTAGGGAAGCTTAGGGAGCCTTAGGGAGTAGTATTTGCGAACCTTGGGTTGCATACCCCCCTTGAACCCCCCTTCCCTTAAGAACCTGATGAACCCCAAGCCCTAAACCCTAAACCCTAAACCCTAAACCCTAAACCCTAAACCCTACATCCTAAACCCTAAACCCTAAACCCTAAACCCTAAACCCTAAACCCTAAACCCTAGACCCTAAACCCTAATCCCTAAACCCTAAACCCTAAACCCTAAACCCTACACCCTAAACCCTAGACCCTAAACCCTAAACCCTAAACCCTAAACCCTAAACCCTAAACCCTAAACCCTAAGCCCTCATATAAGTAGGGCCCTGCGAAGGTGGACTTGCAAGGATCGCAAACGACGCTGAGTGGCACTGTGCAGCTGAACCTCGTCGTCAAGGCGCCGCAGGAGAAGCTGCTACTTGAAGGATCATGATTAGGGTTTAGGGTTTAGGGTTTAGGGTTTAGGGTTTAGGGTTTAGGGTTAAGGTTCAGGGCCTAGGGTTCAGGGCTTAGGTTGGGATGTTCCCCCTTACACAAGCAGTCTTTAGTAGGGATTCTAGTACCCCCTATTGGAATCCCTACTTTTAGTATGGGGGGGAACATCCCAAGTCATGATGCATACTTCCAAGCAGCATGATTCGCACCCTACAATAAGGCTACAGCCACAACCCTAAACCCTAAACCCTAAACCCTAAACCCTAAACCCTAAACCCTAAACCCTAAACCCTAAACCCTAAACCCTAAACCCTAAACCCTAAACCCTAAACTCCAAACCCTAAACCCTGAACCCTCAACCCTAAACCCTGAACCCTAAACCCTAAACCCTAAACCCTAAGCTTCAACCTTACAAGAGGCCCATGAACCTTCAAGTCCTCGAACAAACCCCTTGCATCACCTTCCGAGGATGGGAACCCTAAACCCTAAACCCTAAACCCTAAACCCTAAACCCTAAACCCTAAACCCTAAACCCTAAACCCTAAACCCTAAACCCTAAACCCTAAACCCTAAACCCTAAACCCTAAACCCGGTTGTGTTGCCCTCCACAGTCAACCTCAGGGCGTTTTATTGTGGTTGCTAGTTCTTGTTATTGGTATTGTCGTATTGTCATTGCAATTGTCATTGTAATTGTCATTGTAATTGTACTTTTTCTTGGTATTGTATGTGTTTATTAGCTTATGGTGATTCGCAGTAGTGTTATGAATGTTGTTGCTATTTTAATTTTGGGGTTTAGGGCGCAGGGCTTCTATGGATTATAGGGCACAGTAGCCCATCCTGGCTATACTGCTTATGGTAGCTTGACAGGGTTTAGGGTTTTAGAGACCGATCTCCCTTTCTCCTGAATTTAGAACCCTTAGTAGCCCTAAACCCTTAATAGCCCTAAACCCTAAATCCTAAACCCTAAATCCTAAACGCTAAACCCTGACAAGAGACTTCTTAGGGCCCCTAAGCTTCGAGAGAGAGGGTTCGGGAACCCCTAAACCCTAAACCCTAAACCCTAAACCCTATACCCTAAACCCTAAACCCTAAACCCTAAACCCTAAACCCTAAACCCTAAACCCTAAACCCTAAACCCTAAACCCTAAACCCTAAACCCTAAACCCTAGACCACTTCGAAGGCCGTCTTCGGCGTGCTGGCTGCGGGTCTCTCCGACCGTATTGGCAGAAAGCCCGTTCCTTGCCGGAGGTTTCGGGCTGAAGGCTGGGAAGGGTTTCGGGTTTAGGGTTTAGGGTTTAGGGTTTAGGGTTTAGGGTTTAGGGTTTAGGAAACTAAGCAACCTTTTCTGGACACTTGTACGCATGTTGCTAAATTTCACCTAGTGCACTCAGTATAGAAGGCGGGTGAATCTGGTGATCTACTTCGTTTCTACCTTTGAACACGTAAACATCTGTTAGAGAGAATCCTGAGTCCAACACCAAACTCCAGTTTGCCCCCCCCCCCCCCCCAAGTTGGCTATTTCAAATAAGACTGCCCCCTTTGTATACCCCAAAGAGAATAGAATCCCCTTAAAGGGACCCTTAAACACGAGTACCCCTATTTTCGGAAACCCCACTTGGCTTTTATACCCCAAATAGAATAGTAGCCCCTTAAAGGGACCCCCCAGAAAGGGTACCCCCGTTTATCCCCCAAATAAAATGGAATCCCCTGAAAGGGACCCCCCAAACAGGGTACCCCTATTTTCGGGAACCCCCCCATTTCAGGTTCTGCTGGTGGGCACAGTCCTACTTGCCGTCGCCAGCTTTTGCTGTGGCTGCGCCGGTCGAATCGACCCCTGTTCTCCAGAGGGGGGTTTAGGGTTTCGGGTTTCTAGGGTTTAGGGTTTAGGGTTTGGGGTTTAGGGTTTAGGGTTTCTAGGGTTAGGGTTTAGGGTTTAGGGTTTAGGGTTTAGGGTTTAGGGTTTAGGGTTTAGGGTTTAGGGTTTAGGGTTTAGGGTTTATGGTTTAGGGTTTAGGGTTTGCGTGGGGGGGGGGGGGGGGGAGGGAAAGCGAGGAGACAGAGAATTTTGCGGCTGTAGAGTGTAGGGGGTTTATAAGGGTCCCCAATAACCACCTCATCACATCATGTAGCCTACCCTAAACCCTAAACCCTAAACCCTAAACCCTAAACCCTAAACCCTAAACCCTAAACCCTAAACCCTAAACCCCTAAACCCTAAAACCCTCAAAGAGCAAGCCGACAGATGCCAAGGAGTGGTTCCTGGCAGCGCGCGTGTTGCAGGCTGCGTGAATGTATCCCTGCTTGAGGGTTTCATGGGTCGTGAGAACTTGAGAAGAACAAAAGGGTCCCCCCGAGTACTGGCCCAGTCGTGACATTGTGTCAGAGCGTCCCCATATCCCCCTTGGGAATTATGTTTTTTAATTGTTGTTTATGTAAAACCCAAGAGGATATTAAACATATGATCTTTATTAAGGTTCTAGGGTGAGTGTAGGTCCTTGGTTGTGAGGCGTAGAGAGTGTGCTTGCTACCTGGTCGTCGACGGAGGATCATGCGGGCGGAAGTTGCCGTGGAATGTGAGAAGAACCGCGTGCACGTACATCACACAGGTACCTGACCGCAGTGGTGTGCAACTTACCGGCCTCCTCCTGCTGGGCCCCTGGATCTCCAGTTCTTTGCTTCGCTCGGTCCTGTAAGAAGGGAATCCCTCCGGAGCCGGCCGGGTTCTCTCGAAGAGTTTTCGCAGGGTGCCCGCGCGGGATTCTGAAAGGCGGAAAGGGACTATGAAAGGCAGGGAGAAACTACGTAGAAGAGAAAGGAGGGAGAGGGTGACCGAAGAGAAGTTTGAAATGGCGCAAAGGATGCCGAAGACCTTGACAATAGGCGGGGTTTAGGGTTTAGGGTTTAGGGTTTAGGGTTTAGGGTTTAGGGTTTAGGGTTTAGGGTTCAGGGTTTAGGGTTTAGGGTTTAGGGTTCAAGGTTTAGGGTTTAGGGTTTAGGGTTTAGAGTTTAGGGTTTAGAGTAGAATTCTGCGCTGAAAGCTCGTCTTGAAGCAGAGCTCGCCTCACTGCAAATTCACTGGGCCTTCTTTGAGCCGGCAATTTTTTGGTTCTTAATAGAACGGCTCCCTGCCAAAGACGCTCACAGCACAATGTGAACCTCAAACGGGAACAGGGTTCATGAGACCGCCCCCCCCCCTCCTCCCTACATTCCGCACAAGTTGGCTCGATCTGGTGTTGCTGCACATTGAGATCGAGACCGCACTGCATGCGTCTCATGACGCCAAAAAGCTAGAACGCCCCAGCGCGGAGAGCCAAAGCAAAGGGCCCTGACAAGACCCAGGCAACACCTGCAACAAAGGAAGGCGTATTGTCGCAGTTGCTTAAGAACCCCACCCAAAAACGCAAAAATAATAAACCCTGTATTACTCTTATAAGGAAGACGGTTTTTTGTGGTTTCTTAATCAATTGGTCATGTTATTCTAGGGTATAGACCCAAGGGTTGCCGCGGGGGAGATCGCGGTTCGTCTTCTTTCTCGCGTTAAAAACCCCAAGCCCGAAACTCGAAACTCGAAACCCTAAACCCTAAACCCTAAGCTAAACCCTAAACCCTAAACCCTAAACCCTGAACCCTGAACCCTAAACCCTAAACCCTAAACCCTAAACCCTAAACCCTAAACCCTAAACCCTGAACCCTGAACCCTGAACCCGAGCTTTGCCTCAGGGCATGGGCGAGAGCGTTGAGCCGGTGGTCTTTGCCATGGCAAGAGATGCATTTCCCCAGCGGGAGGAGCGCCCCTCGATGGAGATGTCGGCCAGTTTTTCGTTAAGACGGTGACCGTGTCATGGACATGTAGTGCTATGATGGGTTTAGGGTTTAGGGTTTAGGGTTTAGGGTTTAGGGTTTAGGGCTGATAGCCTGGAGCGTTTTAAGCTTCACGAACCTTACATTTGCTGTTGGTCTTTTGCTTCTCGACAGCCACCAACAGCAAGCCCACATCGAACGAACCACCAAAAGCTATCGCTTGGTCGCCCGGTGGTACCCTTTTCCTTTTTTTTGGGTTCTGGGTTCCCTTGTAAAGTAACCAGCCCAAAAAAGGTTGCCCTTATTATAAGATGGTTGCTGGGCTAGCAAGATCGGTTGTTGTTGGAGGTCGTTTTCCGGCCACTACTTGTAGCCTCCTACAACTTCGTAGCTGAGTGAGTAGACTTTGACACTTTTTGGGATACTATAGTCTCTACAGATCCAAAGATGTACACTTTTTTTGGGCTTATGAACTCAGCAACTAGGATAAGGGCATTCCACAATAAGTCCCGCATTTTTGCATGGCGATTCCTTGGGAAGTTTGCATACAAGTGCCTCGCGATTCAGGTCAATGCCTGGTTTCAGGTCTCCAACTTCTAGACGGGGAAGCAGTTTTACAAGTGCCTAGTAACAGCAGTCGCATGGAAATGTCGGGGCAAAACTGTCTTGAACGTTTGAGGCTTTACGAGCCAAAGGCTTGCCAGTTCTTGAGCTTTTTGCTTTGTCGCCAGGCATTCATTAGCTCACGCCACAAACTATCTAAGCCATGAAGCTTTATGGGGATAAAGCTTTAGGGGGGAGGGCGAAGCATTAAAAACCAAAACCCGCTCGTTGTTGAAGAATTCATCAGTTCGTACTCTGGGCACCTCCTTCAATCAGAAGCTCCCCTATCAGTAGCTTCCTCCTGCGATTCAGGCCGAAAAACGCTGGAGCCTTGGGGGGAGGTGAACCACTTGAAGGTTTCGAACTTTCCTGATCCTATAGCCCATGAAGTTCCAGCAAGCCGCTACTGAGCCCTAGACCCCAAACCAGACACGCTCAACCCTAAACCCTAAACCCTAAACCCTAAATTCTGAACCCGCTAGACCGTAAACCCCAAACCCTACCCTAAATTCTGAACCCTACTAGACCGTAAGCCCTGAACCCTAAACCCTCAACCCTAAACCCCCAGGCTTCCTCATGGTCGCTGCCCTGAAGATGCTGTCCTTCGTGGGAATCGCCAGTGCCCCGCCCCTTGGCCCCCTTCCTTTAAAGTAGGGACTCAGGTGATCCAGGCAACTTTTGGTGCTTAGGGTTTATAGGGTTTATAGGGTTCATAGGGTTTATAGGGTTTAGAGGGTTTAGGGTTTCGGGTCTAGGGTTTAGGGGCTAGGGTTTCGAGCAGGGTGTAGGGTTCTTTCTCTAACCACCCAAACCCGAGACCCTGTGCGCTTGTAGCATGTCGGGTGCTGAGCCCTAAGCCCTAAACCCCAAACCCTAAACCCTGAATCCTAAACCCTAAACCCTCAACCCTCAACCCTAAACCCTAAACCCTAAACCCTAAACCCTAAGCCCTAAGCCCTAAACCCTAAACCCTAAACAACCTGTCCGCGAGGTTCGTGGGGGGCCTGTGCGCCCAGTTCCTGAGCTGGCGCATCTCATTCTTCGGCTTGGCAGTGGCCCTTGGGCACCGAATGGGTTTAGGGTTTGGGGTTTAGGGTTTAAGGTTTTGGGTTTAGGGTTTAGGATTCAGGGTTGAGGGTTGGGGGTTTCGGGTTGAGCAAAAAAGTAAATACCTTCCTTCAACAACATTAATACACGGACGATTTCAACTACAAATATGATAGCGAGGGTTAACCCTGAAGGGAACACTTCGTAGCGCATATACAAATACGACTCTTCTTAATGCGAATACACGTGTGTTGTTAAGCTCCTACTACCACCATTTAATACTCACACGAATAGGACTGCTAATACGAATACAACTCTGCCAGCATAGACCCCAAACAGTGACCACGGGAGCCCAGACGTCCAAAAGCGACGACAGCCTTGCACTTGGCGAACACAGACGCCCGAAAACGACGGCGGTTTCGCACATGGTGAACTCAGAAGCCCAAAAGCTTCAGATTTCGTGAACCTTGATGCCAAAAAGCCATCTTGTTGAGGACTGAGCGTGGCCACCCTCGTTGGAACCCCTTGGTGTGGACACACTTTGTTTGGACATGATGCAGACGAATAAAACAAGGCTCATGTGAGTATTGATGCCGTTTGGATATCAACAG